TGTATTGTCGATCCAAAATTGTAGAATCAGTGTCAAAAATAAAATGAATGATGTTCTGTGCGCAGCCAACAAAATTTGTAAAATGGAAATCGACGTACTCAAGGGCAGTCAAAGCCAGCAGGAGTAGTCCAAAAAATTGAAAATTGAAAAACGCAAGAATCTCAGCTAAATAAGCTTCAGTGAGTGCTATTCTCCACCAGTTCAGTCTCCGGAGCAAGAGCCAGAGACTCACAAGCAAAACGCAAATGCCAGTGAGAGCAAAACACCCAGTAGCAAGATAATCAACGCTGTCTGCAGCAGTGTGCTGCAATTGCTGATCAAGGTATCTCAGGTGATCGGAATAACTTGGTAGACCTGTCAATTGCAGCTGAATGTCAAAAAAGTCCAATGCTTTGATGAAGCAGCTGTCACTTAGGCCAGAAAAAGTTGTTCGGGAGCCAACCCCGCAGTTTGTGACAGCTGCCAACTGGTATGGGTTCCAGACTCCACAAAACAGGCCAGTGAGATCTCCGTGGGAGCCAACCCCGTAGGAGGATGTTGCAATCTGTCTCCACCACCAATTCCAGAGTGCGTTTTGAGCAAGCAAATCTCGTTTAATTGTTGTCCAATACGGAAAAAATTCTCTGCGGTCAAAAATAAGGCCAGTGAAAAATTCTTGGGAGCCAACCCCGTGTAGAAAATAATTTATTGCAGCAAACGTGAAACCTGAGGTAGCAAAAATGTTCTGCGCAGGGCCAGTGAAAATGATCAAAAGGGAACCCACCCCAATCTTGTCAGCTTGTATCCTCCAAAACGGAAGCAATGGTGATATCCTGTCAGTGGCAACACTCCCAAGGCCAATGTCTGAGATTCGGGAGCCAACCCCGCAGTGTTGGGAGGTGTTGCCACAGTGCGGTTGTGTAAATCCAAAATGAATTAAGTTCAAGCCGACACGCAAGCTGGAATTTGCTACAATGTATTGCTCCGAAATGTCACTGAGATGTCCGAGGCCAGGAAGTTGCAAAACTCGGGAGCCTACCCCGCAGTGTCGGACAAACTCAGTCTGTTGCCAATGAACCCCAAAATCCAGTCCAAAGGTCTGATTGGGTCTTTCAGTCAGGGAGCCCACCCCTTTTCCAGTCGCCTGCAAATTGTTGTCCAACACAGAATGATCAGATGGTGGGATCTCTCGAATGTGCAGACCAAGGAAAATGAATGTTGCAACCCAACAAAAAAGGTGTTTTCGCGCGCCAGCAAATGTAGTCGTCGTCGTTTCAACAGGAAGGCAGCAGAAAATTTGCAGCCCGGTCAGCCAGGTTTGATTCAGGTAAAATTGGTTCCAAGGCTAATGATTGGAAAAGAAAAAGTGCAATCACGCAGCTGCAACGAGGATGCAAAATGGCTGAGGCACAGAAATCACAGGCACGGAAAGGGTCGACCGAAACAAAACAGGCAAAACTCTACACCGTCACGGCACTTGACAGCCACGCTCGTGGTGGCAAAGGGGCTTGTGTGTGTGTATGTGACAATGTTGTATCTGACGATGCGGTGTCTGGAAGTTGTTTGTGTGCGTGTGGGACAATGTTAATGTTGTGACAGTGTTGTTGGAGGAGGCGGAGGCAGAGGAGGGCGGAGGAGCTGGCAGGATGCAGAATAACACAACAAGAACCGTTACAATAATGTTGGAAATTGTGGAAAATGTATGCCTGTTATACCGTGTGCCGAATTTGCCTGTGCCCTAAATGGGCCATGTAGACAACGGGCATGTAGGTGTCACTTCCTCACTCTGTCGAAATCATTATATAATCATCAATCCGTGTCTGCAACACGGCATTGTGAAGCGAGTGATGCAACTTGTTTGTTTGAACAAATCTGCGTTGGTGGTACTTGATTTTGAAACCCGAAAACGCTTGCATCACAGCAAAACCTGAAACAAGGCCTGCCATTAGCACATGGTGTGCATTCTGCGTGTGGGCAATCTTCGTGCTTACTGGAACGCATGTCTGTTGGGGCATGCCATGGTGGTCACATCACCAACACAATGACGATCGGCGATGTTCACTTTCATATCCATTTGGGTAGCTGCTAGCTGTCAGGGCTGCCACTGTCGGGCAAGAGAAAGCAAAGAAAACAAAACCATGCACTGTACAACTTTAGCAGGACTTGACGGGTTTCACCTGTTTTGAAGACGGGGAATGAACCCGCGGGATTTCAGCTGTAATGAAGACTGGGAATGAAAGTAAAAACGTCCTGGGGGATAAAACGTATAGAAACAGTCGTTGGCTTACAGATCCAGCAGGAAATCCTCGGTAGTTGTCCTTGAAATGATTCGATCTGTTCGCGTAATTTTGATTCGGAAGGCGGCAATCCTGCCGCCTTTGAAAAGAGTAACGGATAGTAACGGCATCGTATCACAAGTTGGAAGGTGACTACGATACCCGCTTGTTTGAAAAGAGCAGCAACGGCTAGAACAAGAACCACTCCGACCGTAGCAGCAAAAGCAACAACAGCAACAGGAAAAAAACAGGAAAAAAAGAACTGTGTGTGATGAACATCTCGGGGTCTGGTCAATCACAAACACAAAAGCATACCACGAAACACATGTAACATGAGGGCTCTGAGGGAAGGCATGCAGTATATACTGCAGTGATGTTGACAGTTGAAAACAAGTATCATTCGCTTGTGGATGTTTGAAAGCAAAGCTGCAAACAACTTTCCTGGTCCGAATATCACCTGGTACTGCCAGCTGATAGCCGCTGGGCTCACGGTATGTTGAAACATGATTCGTTGTTCTTTCATATCACGCCATTTGACCCACCAGATGTGACAGCAAATGTCATATGTTCTTATTGGTGTTTACCATGTTCCAGGAGTTTTTCATGGGCAAAAGCGTTGAGGACAAAACATGGATTTGTGCCAAGGGCACTGCGGGCCCAAGCTCGCAAAGCTTTGGTGCCAGGGCTGCGTGTGATTCTCAGTGCTTTGTGGGGCTGCGAGACTTTGACTCGTGCCGTGCAAGAATTGATTGTGTATAGATATGGTCATGGTCAGAAATGTGTGTTTTTGAAGCTGCTTAGGGTGTGAGAAGCAGTTCTCAACAAGAATGAATCTTGACGTCCAAGCATTAGGGGCCTTATCTAGGCCTCATTGGCTATTCGGCTATTTGCCTAAAATGCAGTCACCTTCGATGCCTGCAGCGGTGTAGCCAGGGCTCGTCGTGTCAAGGTTTTGTCATGTCGCATTTTGTGGGACAAGTTTTTTTGCGGCAAAAGAACAAAAGGGTTACAGTTTGTTACAGCGGTTGGTGTAAAATGGTTGGAGGATGTTGGGGGCAACAGGTTGTCCATATGCAGGAACTAGTTTTCTCCGAAATATCTTGTCGTTGCAACTACGCATAGAACACAGAAGCTAGCACCTTGCTCAGCACGCCATCCACGCATGACTTGGCATAGGGCTGTACTATAGGGCACTGTACAGTAGGGATTCCAGAATTTGCTCGCGTGCAACCTTGTCGTCATGAAATCATGTTGATGCAAAGCATCTTGGAATGGTGGGGCCTTTGCACGACAACACTCTGCTCTAAATTTTGCAAGGCGCAAGCATGTTGGTGTCAAAGCATCTTGCCATCGTTATACAGGTTTTGGTGCGGAGATGTGCGGAGACGTCCGTCTTAAGCAAGCTCTTGGTGTCAGCACTCTTTGGGCACTGTCACATGCATCTTCAACACAATTGCATGGTCTCTCGGCCCGCTGTGTGGTTCTGGTTTTCTGCACCGATGCCTATACCAATGCCTACTTGACTTTACTTGAGCGCAAAAGCCACCAAATATCCCAGGCTCCAAGCAACGTGATGATTCTTTACGTTATCTAGTTCCTCTTTCCCCTTGTAGTCGCTGACGGGTTCCGTTCCGACGATTTTTTGAAATTCCTTCCCACCTCGGACATTCGCTGACCAATAGACGCAACCACCTGGAAATATGAATTGTTGAGTCGGCACAAAGTTCCGGTTGTGGCGCTGTCTTCAACAATTTGGTGATTTGGATGCAATGCTGTGGTGCCGCTGCGCAGGATAGGTGTTATCCCAGTTGATGGGAGCATGGTTCCTGTGGTTCTGAGGTGGTGTCGTGCTTGAGAGATTTGAGGCAATTACAAACGGAGTGGTGGCAATGTGCTGGCACTGTTTGTGCATGTTTGTGCGAGGCTTTACAAAATCTGGGAGATGCTCAAAAGATCTCAAAAGATCTCAAAAGATCTCAAAAGCATGAACCTCGTGCTGACACGTCGCGGGTAGATTCGCTCGCCTGCAAACCATCGGCGGATTTGTTTATCACGACGATCAGATTTTGTTTCACACTGCATGGATTCACCAATTGTTCGCCGCATCAAGTGGCAAAGAAAAGATGTTCTGCAGCAATGCAGTGGGGAAGCGGCCATGAGTGGCACTGTAGCTAGGGCCAGCAGGGAAGGCTTGTCAGCAGAGCCATGTTGCTTGGGGTTGCTTTGCTCAGACTGAATGAAGCCGCTGGAATCGAGTTCCTCTGGACCAAACGAGAGGGAGGGAGGGAGGGAGGGAGGGAGAGAGAGCGAGAGAGTGAGAGAATGCCAGAATGAGAATCGTGAAAGGACAGGGGAAGCTTACGTTCAAACAACGAATGCGTCTTGTTATGTCTTGTTGCATCTTCTGCCACTGCTGGGGAGAGGTTGTTGCTTTTACATACTTGTTTACTCCAGTGCAGTGATAAAGCCTTTACCACAGAAACAATGTCATGTCTAGAGATGTCACTGGAGTGTGCCAGGAAACGTCGTTCAGTGCTGAGTTCCGCCAAGGAAATGACCCACGCCCTTGTGCTGTTTCCACTACCATTTGTGCAGTCAAAGCGCCAGGTATCTCATGCACGACTCTTCTCGCACCCACCGCATATACTGTGTTGTTTAAAACATGTTACAGGCGCTTGCCGTCCTTTTCACAACTCGTTCGTTCCACTTCTGTTGGTAGAGGGATTTGAGGCAGCCACCGCACACTTTTTTGCTCATGCCTTTGAGAGCCTTTCCGAGAAGATTGTTGGACTTGGTTGTCCAATCCGAATTTCTCTGTAGAGTATCTGACAGAGACGTGGTGTAGCATCAGGATTCTCTTTGCGTCGACTTCACGTCAATGAGCTAGCAGCAAAAGAATGCTTGCAGGCGGGAAGGCAAAGCAAACTCAAAGTTTGCATCTGCGTCCCAGAAAATTTCAGTGTGGCACTGTAGCAATTCAAAAAAGAGGGTGAAACGCTATGAAACACTGTCATACACACTCTATCCTCCAGAATCACTCCGGATCTGTGTGCCTCAATTTTCAAACTGTTTTTGTAAATTTATAAACCTCGAGTGCAAAAACGAAATCTGTCTGTGCTATGCCTGCATACCTGCATGGAGGAGCCACTTGCGAACACAGCAAACAAACAGTGGGCAATTGAGTTTGATTTGCTCTGAAATATCTCGAGATAAGTAGACCAAAGATTGAAATAATATATATATTATATATATATTTTTTTAATTGTCATGATTCATGATCCATGACTGCGGCAGAGCATCCTCTTTTTCTTCGGAGCGGAAATAAAGCCGCACCCTCCTGCTTTGCTTTCCAGCCAACGCACAAGACATGCCAGCTCCTAAGTCAAATCACAGCAGGGTTCATGTCTGAGTGCAGGGATCTGCCACCCTGCTGTTCCCACCCCTCCCTTTGGTGATTGCAAATCAAGGTGCTGAAGATATCCTTTGCCGTACTCCACTGCAAACACTCTGCAACATAGAGTGATCCCATTTTTCAGGCATGCCTTGCCCAAAGAGGCAATGTAGTGGGACCACGAAGTATATTCGAGTTGGTTGCAAGTGAAAAGCTACGCAGTGCATGCTGCCTGTGGCTTGATAAAACCAGAAGTGCGGTTGCAATTGCACCAAAGTGGAACCAACGTTGATAGAGCTTGATTCAAGCAAGGCGGTTGCGAGTTCCAAGACTGGAGTCGAGGTCTTGGATGGCAGAACTGTGTCTTCAGAGGCTTCAAACCAGAAACACGTCAACTGCAAACTCTGTGCTTTCGTAAGAGCACCATCTGCGGCAATTGATCCTCGTCGCCACCAAGACATCTGTCCTCTTGCCACTGGAGCCCCCGAGGAGGAAGCAGGTCGTTCACGCCGTGGTGAAAGTGATGACATCGCCGCAAATCCTCCTAAAGAACAAGAACAAATCGTTGACGCGGTAACTCTAAATTAATGGCTAGGTTGGCAGTCTCGGTCGGAAACGACTCTACAAGAACGCATCATGCCGCAGGAAAACTGCACAAGTCCTTGAATAATTCGTTTGGCAAATGACTGCGGACGACGATCGCTGCGTTCTTTTGGTGGACACGGTGGTGGCGGCGATGCATGTGCTACTGCTATCTTCTCCCATTTGCGAAGAGATGTTTCCTGCCAGGAAAATCATGCAAGATCATGCAAGTATGTCCAACTTTGCTTTTGCACATGTTGTGCCGCGACTGACTGTGGGCCTCTGATCCAAAGCTTAGCTTAGAATGATTGAATTGGGCGTTTCATCCCGGAGCCATTTCGTGCATCATTCATATCTACTAGCTGTTCTCAAACTCAGTCGCAGTAGGCTCATGAGGGGTCTCATTTCCAAAGACTAAAAGGGGGTCGCAGTAGAAACTGACCAACGTGAAACATCCTGGCCCGCTGGTTCGCTCCTCTTCAAAGCAAAGCAAGCACGCCCATTTTGGAAATTGGGGTAGAGACTTTGCCAAATACCCAACCAACCAATCAACCATGCTCTCAAGGGTGATATCCTCGGAGCGGTTGCACTGCCTGGACTGCTTCAGCAACATTCTGAGCTCAAGTGCCGTTGAACTGAGAGCTGCACCAGCGAATGAAAATGCCAGGTCTTTTGTGGGGCTGGCTCTGAAGCTGCATCACCAGCAGGGTGTAGTACACGAACTGCGTTGGTATTCTCCTAGGGCATGAGACTGTAGAGAGTTCAAGGGCAGAGTGTGAATCTTGAGACATCTTGAAACGTCTTGCAACATATTGAAACATGTTAACCGCTTCTTCCCAGTCTCCTCAATGAAGTCGTGAAGAAGAATTTTGGCAAGTTGTGAACCCAAGTCTTGGGGAAGGTCCTCGGTGGTGCTTTCATGGACAGCATCGTGGATGCGGCGATTCCACGATGCAACCTGTCCAGCCTCTCCTTCACGCCTATAAGCCTATATTCATAAATCATCATAAATCCAAGTCTCACCAAAGGCAGCCAAAGTCAGATGTACAGCTGGTTGTCCTTCATCGTCAGGTATTTGCTCGCTGGCTAAAAAGACATTGCCCAAGTGACTCAATTCTCCGAAGCGCATACTTTGCAGCTGCGGTGAGTTTGGTAAACTTGTTGAAAAGCGACTGAATGCATAAAGCTGCAGGGCTAAACCTCTGAGCAGGAGCGAGGTGAGGTATTTAAAAGAGACACAGTGATTGTGGTCACACTAATCCAAAATTAGACCAAAAAAGGCCAATAGATTAGAACCAGCTAGTTTGCATGCCATGCGATCCGTCAAGAATTCATTTTGCCTTGCAGCAAAATACCGCATAGAACACTCCAAGCAACCCACAGGGTCAGCAAGCCAAAGTTGCTGCTTCGCATTTGGAAGGCCAAAGTCTGCTTCGTACCGCCGGTGGTAGACTAAAGCACCTCACAGCAAAGATGCTGCAAGTCTAGATGATCTCCAACAACCAGATACATGATGTAACATCGGTTTGCTAAACTTCCAGTTACAGGGAACCTACTGTACCAAATCCAGAAAGTTGGTAAAATTCAAGATCGTATGGCACCCATCACAAACAGCTCTACTCTCAACTGTCCTGATCCTGCCTGTGTCAGCGTTGAAAACCAAAAAACCGCTCAACATCTTGCGGGCATGGTCTAGGCTGAATTGTGTAGACTTGTTCAGCTGAACAAGAGTGGAGATACCGAGAACCCGCTATATGCATGGTTAGCAAAATATCCAAGAATCATGTGGAAGGAACTCACTGGTGTCGTGTTGAGAGACAATGTTTGTTCTCATGTTGTCTGCGCTGATTTGTTGTGGATTTTGTTCGCCAGCGGATCCTTGTGTTGATCATCGTACCTTTTTTTCGCCGATTCATGACTGCATATGACTGCCAATAAAACTGTCAACATTTGCAGACACTCCCAGCAGCTTTCACTCAGCACGACCTTGAACCATCTTGAACCGGCTGAAAGTGCACATTACATGTCTCAGGTGACTCAGGTTGTGTTGAAATTCCTTAGCGTTGCATCATTCCATGGGTTTGCACCCAGAGCAACGACCAGAATCCGCTAGATCACCCTGTGCCATTCAGACAGAACGTTTAAGCAATTAGTTGTCTAGTTCGCAAAACATTCTCTGAACTGTTGTTCCTTGATGTATGCAGGTAGGGGGCCAAAACCGCTGTGTCCTTTTGGGCTCCCAAAAATGCATGGAATGGCGTACGTTGGGAGGTGAATCCAGAGAAGACATTGTGACAGATACCCACCCCATTGATAGAGCGGACACCAAAGGTCTGTCCCGAGACCACCATCCCACATCTCACCCCACTCTTCTTGTGACAGCAGTGACATCTTCATGGACACACGGTCTTGACGTTGTCGGAACGAAGGTTCACCACTAAAACAGTGGCAGCTGCGGGCCAGGTGTTTCTACCATGGCACCCTCTGACTGTTTAACTGATTTTAACTGGTCTTCAAACAATTCCAGAACCCACACCGTGCTCCAGCTTCAAAGAAAACTCATGCCAGCCTGCAGCCAAATGTGGCAGAAGCAGCTGAAAGCAGTTGTGCTTGATCAGACAGTGTTGAATACACAGAGAAGCTTTTCTTGCTACCTTTTGAGAAAAACGTATCCGTATATATATATAATATAATATAATATATTATATAATATATATATATATATGAGAAACAATAACAGACAGCAAGTAAAAAAAGTCAAACATCCTTTGGGGCAAACAAAAAGAAAGACCACGGGAAAGAACATGAAGGGTACAAACTGCGAAAGCACAAAAGTATCACAGAAAGTGAAACAAAATTGCGTCCAAGTTTCTAAGTGGCGAAGCTGCTCAAAGCACATTAGTGAGATCGTGGTGTGTGGTCCCAGTCTCAACCACTGCATGCTGAAGCCGCGAAAAACCGTCAAAGGTCCCTCTGATTTGGCCGTTTTTAGAAGGCAGTCCAGTGTGCTTTCGTAAAGGACGCCTCGTCCAGTCCTAACGGTACTCACGCGGTACTCGGCTTCGCTCTCTTCGCTCAGTACAAATGACATCTGGAGGGAGTTTGTATTACAAAGTAATGACAGCAGGGTGTCTCAAAATTCTCAAAAGGCTGGCACTGCTGGAAAGTTCCCCTTTTGCGTCCATGTCCAATGCTCCAGCATAAGCAACTTGATTGAATATGACCAAATGGATGTGTGTACATAGAACATGCCCAAATAACCATCAACTTGAAAGACGCAATCAATCTAAGATTTACCAAGTTTCTCCGGATTGATGGGCTGCGTCATGATGCGGCTCTTGGCAAGGTCAACAGGGCTGGTAACCCCCGCCGCAACAACTCCGGCCAGCATGCTACAAGTGAAATGGCAAAAGTAACCCTCCTTCAAAAGGCCTGCAGGGCGCCAGGGTACATGCTGTCTGAAACACGCGGTCATGATGGGTCGTACATCACATACACGGGAGAAACCATCGCGAAGCCACTACCGACTTGAAGATACATCAGATACATCTTGAATTTCAAGGGAATCTCAACCGACTTGTTGCTGGTCTTCTATTCTGATGCGACGTCGGCTATTGGCGTTGCACTTCCAGCCTAGATCAAGAAGCGTGTGCTTTGCATGGTCGTAGCTCGGCACCTTCGTTCGGATGCGCTGGTGCGCTGGTGCTGAAGCTAGCAGTCTGTGAGAGTCATCTGGTCATTGGAGCAGAGGTGACCGTATTCTTCAATTCATTCTCAACGCAATGAAGTGCAAGGAAATGCAAGGAAAATGATGTGTGTGTGTGTGTCTATACATTTGTTTCAAACCAGTTGGGCCACAATCCGACAGGCAGCAGGATTGTTGTGTCCTTTTTGCCTTTGCAAACTCGAACTCGATCGAATGTGAATTGTAAGTATCTAAGAAATGATACTTCTGCAGCCCTATTTCATAGATATCTAACACAAACCAAAATGCCGAGATTTCAAAAAAAACTGTTGGCCAACTAGCTATCACCAGGCATTCGAATTTGTTCTGCCGGCATTATTAGGTTCCCGTTGTTGATTTTCCACATGTTGCAATTTAGGTTGCAATATTTCTTACTGAGGCCTGGAAAGGGTCCAAACAAACATCATGTCATCATGTTTCGCATGTTTCGCGAGATGACCTCAGGGAGGTCACGCGATGTCACGCGGGAATTGCCATTGCTGCGTCTGTTTCTTTGAAAGAGAATTAGATAATTAGAAGCACCGGTGTAAAAAGTTTGAGGCAACAAAGATTCGTGTGAAAAGACTCCTTGGTGTTGTTTTTTTTTTATAACTATGTATGTATTGTATTGTATTATATTTGTCTGGCGAACATCGCGTGTATAATTAGCACCGCGCCCTGTCAAACCAGGGAGCAAGGCAAATGACATGCAGAATACGTATGGACTCTTTATGGCTTTAGTTTCAAGTTATGACTGCAGCCTCCAACTACTCCGAATTGGAATTAAGCAAAACAACGCAAAACCATGAAATGTTGGACACAGCCCAAAGGTTGGGCCTGGGATGCTGTCAGCAAAGTTGCGCGCTGCACTGTCGGGCCAGCCCCACGCCACAGTCCAGAAGTACCAGCTTCCCGGTATACAACTTTGGTAGCTGCGACCACCTTGTGAGTTCAAAGATGTTCAAAGCTGACAAAATAAGACATCGCTGTTTAATCTGTTCAGATATGTTCAGATTATTCAGCAAAGTTTCTGACATTCGAGCTTGGTTGATATCTCCTCCTTGCATGCGAACCTTCAGCAGGTCAAATGGGTTGGCCAGCAAGGAGCCGATGGCACCTGGAGAGTTGAAAAGCGATCGCTTTCCAAAGAATGAAACAGTCCAACATAAAAAGCAAAAAGCTGTGGAAAGCTGTGGAACCAGGTATGGTACAACATAGTACAACCGCATAAAACATCATAAAACTAAACCTACTGCAAACCTGCTGCAAACCTTGCCTGTGAAAGCCCCGGCAGCAATCTTAATGAGCAAGGGTGAAGTCTTTTCCTTGCTACCACCTTTGGGAGGGCACATGGTGTCGGTTGAGAGTGCGGTGAAAAGGTTAAGTTAGAATGTGAAGTTAGAATGCATGCTGCACTTGGAGAAGAGATATTATGAACCCTACCGTGAAGGCTTTCGACATGTTTTGCTGCAGAAACTGATCTGGCCACCATGTTTTGGCAAAGAAACAAAATGAAGCGAGCAAAACAATAAATCTGAAACGAGACTTCGTAAATACAAACAAAGACTTTCCAGGGTAAACATATGTAAACATTATGCCTAAGCAGTTGTTGCCCGGAAAACGTAGAAAAACAACAAGCTAAGGTGAGCGCTTACAGGACATCTGGACTCCAAAGGCTGAAGGTCAAACAAATTGAAGAGTGGAAACTGTACAACTGAACAAATTTGCGCCTGGCTGGCATTTGTTGGTACTGATGAGTCCGTTGCAGACATAGCAATACAGAACAATACACAGCAAGGAGCGGCATCTCAAGAGAAGGCTTGGGGGGAGAGAGGCGATTTTGCCGGAACAATTGATAATTAAGGGCCAACTTTACACTTTAACACCCTCAATTGATATCAATGGATACCCGTTTAATCGTTGTGGCGAGGAATGCAAGCACTATCTGCAATGGGTTCCTCGCATCCAGCCCTGGCCTTTACAACTTACAAGCATCTCTCGAATAGGCTCGTAGAGGCCCATGCGGACACCACTGTAAGACAGCTCTCGCAAAACAGATGGCTGCAAGCCTGCACTAAGTGTCAAGAAACTAAGAAACTGATGAAATGTCCACCAAATCATGCACAAAGGCTCTTGTCCGCTGTTTCACATGGCAAAGGAAAGGGCAAAAGTCACCTTTGAAGATTTTGAAGTACCCCATCAGCACCAAAGAAGGAAAAGTTCTCTGGCAGCCTATTTTCGTAGGTTATATAATGATTATATATGTATATATCAATATAATATATATATATATATACAGAAAGGGACGCTGTCAGGTCCCCATTTTTCCACGTTTTTAGGAATGCAGTGTTTCTGCTACATCATGCTTGATCATTTATGTTCATATATCTTTAATTAGATTCTGTTACTTTATGTCATGAAAGGATCATTGAACACATTGGAAACCACATTAAAGGTATTGCTAGAGATTCCCAAAGATTGTTAGACCTCCCCAGAGGTTGCCAGAGATGTCCAGAGAGCCATAGATCCCCAGGGCCCCAGGGAAAAGGAAGGAAGGAGAAAAAAAAATATAGTGTGTATACTTTACATATATATATTGCTTCCCTCAGGGTAGAGGGGATCCAAAGGAAAAAAAAACGAAAAAAACAAATAACGTATTTTTGGGGGGTTATTGTTTTTCGTTTTTTTTGCTCCCCCCCTCTCCTAGCCCTCCTATATGTAGCCCCTCCTTAACGTCTGGCTACGGAAAGCTAACGTGAACAATCGGACTATGAAAGTCTATTGACGGAGCGTGGAATGAAGGAATGGGCTACTGCATCGACAAGGACGGAGTACGAAAGGAAGAAACAGATTATGAAAGAAAAGAAAAACGTACAGTTTTTTTAAGCTAGGGAAAAGGACGGCATATCGACATAACTTCGCAAAATTTATATATTAAGCCAGTGGCAAGTAGCGCAACGGCATGACGTAGCCTGAGAAACTGCGTGACGTAGTATAAGCAGCTGCCCAAAAAAAACAAAAATGGTAAGAACATTGATTTAACTTGCAAGGAAATAACACAATGGGAAATAGCAACACACATCATGCTTTATGTGGAAGAGCTGGCAGATTCCAAGGGCACTTCCTTTTCCCCCTTGCTTCAGAAAAATGTGTTTTTTTCCTGCATATTCCATGGTAATTTGCTGTGTCACTGCAAATATAACGGCATACATTGTAGTATCATAGATGTACTAATGACTGTGGGTAAAACTTAAATTATGTCAGTATAAGTTTATCACGGTAACCAAAAGGGCACAAGACCTATTAAAGGAACACTTATGCAACCTTACCAAACAATTGTTTCTATAGAATGGCTGCCTTGTTTGTGCATTGATGCAGCAAGTTACCATGAAGTATGCAAAAAATATTGCAACTACTTGAGCAGGGACAATAGACTGGAATTTGCACTTTCATTTACTAAAAGAGTTCCACTGGAACTGTCGTGTCAACCAAAAGGCGACCTGGAAGTCCAATAGCAAAAACCACCAATGCAAATACCAATTGCTATGTATATGTAAATACATATATATATATATATATATATACAGTCTTTGCAATAGTTGTATACCTAGGTAGTACCTATATTTTAATATATACAGTACATGAAGTACCAATTGACACAATGAATCTATATGTTTGAAGATGTTATTGGGCGAAGAATTTTGCCATTCATATACTAAGACCACCTATCAAAAACCAATAGAGCTACAAAAAGCAAGCAGCCAAGAATAGAGCTAAGGATTCACACACCAAAAACAATACATCTCTCAAGAACTTTGATCTTTCATATGATCAAAGATGAAAAAACAAAAAACATAAAATATTCATATTCAAAAAACGCTCAAACCCACGTATTTTTGAGGACCTGGTGGCGTCACACTCTCTCTCTCTCTCTCTATCTATATATATATATATATTAGATTAGATTAGATACATATATTTATAGAGATTATGGATTCAAGGAGGGGACATGCCAGATATTCCAGGCCTCGGTAAAGACCTCGGAGCCCTTCATGGCGCCACAATTTTTGCCCAGCGGCCAGGACCGTCTGAGCATCACAACTGGTGAGCTGTGCAACACCTGCCAGCTGCATCCGCACCTGGCCGTCTGCAACCGAAGGGTCCAGAAATGTGGTATTTACATGTATGAAATGTATTTACAACAAATTAAATTTACCCTAAATTGATGGCCATGCTATGCCATGTTATGCCATTTTGATTTATTTTGATAGGGAAAAGATGGGAAAAGTATGATATTGATAAACCACTGGGTTTGGTCTGGATATTCCATGATATTCCTATTTTTCGGACCATCCCTGAAGATGGGTCAACTTTGGAGATTTCAAAGGAAAGTAGGTTCGGTCATCGCTTCTTTTCAAAGGGTCAAAACGAATCGCACCAGACTCAAACGCAGCTCACCACCTTGATCACATCGACTGGATTGGTAAAGCACGCAGCAATGGCCTCAAGATGGCTTCGATTGGACTGACATTTTATGTTTTTTATGCATTGAAATCAAGCACAGGCTCTGATTTTTGTGGATGGCATTGTCTATAGATCCAAGGTGCATTGCTGATGCCTGCTAAACCAATCCCATGAAGCGCTGCAAAAGAGGAGCCTGGCATTTTCCTTTTAGTTTGGCTGTGTCTGTGTGTGGATTGTTGACGCCATCAAAATACGGCCCTTTGCGCAGACAATCAATCCAGGAGTTACAGACTGGTCTGCCTGGGGTCTAAACAACAAACGGCCGTGGCACATCTTGTGGGCCACAGCTAATCAGGTTTCTAAGATCAGGCAGATAGGTCAAATGCTTTGGCAGCTGCAAATTGAGTTTCTGCAAGAGTCAACAAAGCAAATTCACTCCCACCGATTGATCTACTTATTGATCTAGTGAATCTAGTCAAGGTTTTGACGGAGAATGGCTGAAGCCCAAAAGCATAAATCTGTTGGCTGCAGGATCCTTATATTGCCGCAAGCATTCCTCAACCTAAACCTTTCGATGGACACTGAGCCCAACGAGCAAAATCCGAGACAAATTCATACAAATTCGAAGAGGGAATCAAGATGAATCAAGATGAATCAAGATCTGGCTCACGAGATCCTTTTTGCTCTTTAGAATCTTTTGATTTTACTCGAGGTCAGCAAGGCTCACATCTGCCATCTCTTCCAGATCCAGAGCCTAGCCAGGTAAAAAGTATGACAAAAGAACGGTCCAGTGCAGCTGCGCTGGGTGTCACCGGAGTTACAGTAAATCCAAAACACTGGCAGTAGGAGGCAAAGCTTCGCAAAGGATGGATGCTTCTGAAAATGCAGCAATTATATAATATACAACACAGGAAGATTCAAACATCTAAGCAAGCAAAGCATGAGTCGTCTTTTTTCCATCAGCACTGCCTTCCAAAACAGCTTTTGCTTCCAAAACGCAGCTTCATGATGCCATGACAGAGCTTAAAATTCTAAAGGCACGGAGTGCTGTTCTTCTGCTGGTTCTTGTCGGCCTTGCCCTGGAAGCACTGCGTTGCCGCCTACTGAACACCTTTAAAGTTGTTCATCGAGCAGCCGCCACCATCGCCCCGCCGACCGCTGGCAAAGCAGTTGAATAGAATGCTCTGTAATGCTCTGTAATGCTCTGTACCTTGTTATGCTTTGTGAGGCTCCAGAGGCAATCTAGAGTATGCTGCAGCTGTGCACTCGACGATATGTGAGAGCGCAACCCCTTGATCCGCGCACTGTGACAGAGTGAAGAGCGAAGCCATTGATATCACCACCGCCAGCTATGGAATCCGTGATTACGGCCATAGCACAAATTGTCATAGAAGCAATCAGTGGACTGCAATGATCCTCTGCAAAACTGCCCAACGGAATCATGGCATAGGGAGTTTCATCATCTGAAACCAAATGCGCCTGTTTTGAGTACTGGACAGCCATTTCTGCTGCAAAGGCATTCTCTTCTGCAGACATTTCATCAAAGAGCTTTAGGTCCACTCCCGTTTTAAGCATATCTTTCAATGTAGCAACGGCGTTGGTAATCTCGAGGTCGGACGTGCCAAAGGGATGGCCTACCGAAGGCGTCGTGGGATCTTCAACCATGGCAGCATGTGCGCCAACTCCCGCTGCAGCGGCAGCAAAGCCGACAGCCAGCAATGAGCTCCCGCCAGTGGCCACTGTGCCAGCTGCCCCAAGAGCAAGTCCTGTCGGAACAGAATAAGACCAACAAAACATTCCTGCAGCTACAGCAGCTGGCAAATATCCCAACGACTGCATTACTCACTGGCCAGTTGATGACAGCAAGGCAAGCATCCAAGAATTATTTCAACAATCCAACACAGGCCCAGTGGGGCATGACCATAACTGCAATAGGACAACACCAAGAACTTAACTGATCCAGAGATTCCCAGGACGATCACAAGATGACTGGGGCGACATAGAAACGACACAAAACTAGTCTGAGAATCAACAGTATGACCGGGACATCGCCACAACTTCACTTCAGAGAGGAGTTGCAATATGTTGCAATTGCCCAAAGCTCTCCAAGGTCTTACTTAGTACATCTCAGTAGTCCTTGTTCACGGCAAGTATGAACAAAGCAAAACGTCTGGTGCCAATAAATGTGGGTTGGACAAGCACACCCTAAGCACGCCCTGCCTGCACTTGCAAATCCTTTCCGCTGCGCAGCAGCTACTGAGGCTGGCTTGGTTGCAGCAACACCGAGTGTTGGCAAGAATGATTCTCTCCTCAACATGAGCCAAGCATTTCCAGAATGAGCTAAGCAACTGACTCTGCAGCCCATTCACGCTTCGCAGTCATATTTCGCAGCAAGAATTGGTTACACAATCACACTCTAACATCAGGGCAAGGCATAAGAATTCTTCGCTTGTGAGCTTGATGCAAGCTATCTGAACAGCATCAAAGCAGAATGATCGGATTTCAAGAGAAACATAGAAGGTCAAACCTTTCGGGTGGGCTTAGATTTAAACAAGCATGAGCACAGCTGCTATATTGCCCCCAGTGCATTTTGTCTCGATTCCACTGCTATTCTTTGGCCTGCGAAAGCAAGTCAGTTGAACTTAAGTGCCCTGTGCATCTATGACCGGCACGGGTCACAGCTGCCCCATAGCTTGCTTGTGAAATGGATTGACTGGGAGAAATAGATCAAAGATGAGAAGATTACAGATCAAAGGCCAAGTAAATCGTCAACTCAACCCGATTGCAAACACATATAATTCATATAATTTATATAATAAATAATTCCTAATTTTACCAGAAATGGGTTGAAAAAACATGAAAAAAACTATCACATGGGCTTACCACATGGCCAAAATTCAGCTTAGACTCTCCAGAGATTTTCCGATAAACTCTGCAAGCTCAGACAGAAACTGGTCGTCCATAGACCGGTCAAAGTTGTGAAGGGTGAGCACGAGGCCTAGAATGGGAACATCAAGAAGTTCCCTGTCCATTGCTGGATGTCATCAAGCAGCCCTGAATAAATCCAATACTGCACATTACATACGATTTCAGGTTTTCATTTCGGGGTCAATTCTTTATACTTCCTCCGTGCTTCTATCTCATAGGCACTGAGAGTCTGAATTGGAATGCGGCTAAGCTGGACAGGAAGGATCATTCACAAAACAGAACACAATGTAGAGCAGTCATCATCCCCTAAATTCAGAAATGTTGTTTTATCTTCTTGTACCAAAGCCTACAGTAGAACACTTCTCGACAGCCGGCAAGCAAGATGCAAAGACTAACGCTATCGCCAATACCCTGGGTATACTCTCGTTATATGTCCTCGTTATACCCTCGTTCTGACAGTGTCTCCGAGATGCTGCCCAGCTCTTCCGTGAACGACGCGTCGTATCCACAAATTTCTTTGCCCATATATTTCGCAAAGATGTTTGTCACCAATCGCATTGCCTCAATACAACACCCTTGTCAAACATGCTTAAGTATGCCTAAATCATCTTGAATCAAAGTCCTCTTCTGCTTGGAGATGTGCCACAATTTTCCTGCTTGCAGTTGTGTTGCACTCGCTTCAATCTCGTCACGGACAAATGGAGGCGATCCTTATTGAAAGTGAAAAGTGAACATCACCCTTTGATAAGCTTTGATGGGCGCTGAGGGCTGTGACCCAACGGTCTTCAAATCTGTTGGAAAGCAAGTTTCCCACTCATGGAAACAAATACAAAGTAAACATTAGCTGCTAGTTAGCTGAGCCAGGGAGCTTAGCCAAATACCAAGAGTTATCAAGAAATGAAATGGGTTTCTGCAAGTCTAGGGTACCCCCAAATCCCATGTTTCATCAATCATCCTTCTCCCATATTCTCTCTTAAATGGTGATTTGGGCGAAGGCGAGGTGCCAGATGCAGCACAGGCGGCCAGGAGCAAAGCCTTTGCTTGTCGAAAGTCTCGTGCCGCCATGGTGATCTCAGAGGTCCTTCAGCTGAAGTTTTGGCAACGGCTTGCAGCGGTGGTCAGTGACATCACCGTCCTGGAATCAAGCCCGCCAAAAAGGGACTGGATGTGAAAAGGCTGCAGCTCCAAATCAGAGATCTCAGGGTTCCAGACCTTAGAAAAATGCATACGTTAGCAGTCTGGTAGGCCTCTTTGTCTGTTGTGGGGGCTCAACGCCTTGGAACTATTTACAAAGTCTATTCAACTAGTCATTAAAAATTGAATCGATTTTCATGAATACCAGTCAATTTCCGGAAGGGGTTTTGCATTTTTCGCATGTTATATTTCCCGATCATTACCACCTAGATTCAACCCGTTTGTCTTGACATGTTGCATGCATCATACTTATGCATATAGTAAGCTGGGCCCAGCAGATTTTAAAAACAAAAAAACTTTAAAAAACGACAGCTTAGGGCACAATTACGAATAAATGACAATATATATATATATATGATTATGTACACATGTATATATATATATATGAATATATTTTTTGTGTATATATATATTATGTATGTGTATATATATATTATATTATATTATATTATATATTATATTATATTAAATATTATATATTATATTAAATATTATATATTATATTATATTATATTATATTAAATTGTATATATATATAATATTATATATATTCTACATATTATTATATTTATATATATATAAATGTAGTTCTGTAATACATATACTTTATGCTTCAGCACGGTTTCAAACAGTTCCAGAATAGTTTCAGAAACATGATTCAAATTTGCATTGCCGATGCTTTGCTTATTTTTGAATCTTATATTGATAGGATGAGTATTGTGATTCTTATGGTTGTGAAAAACTGACAACCCACTGCGGAGTGCAGAGTGCAGCCCTGAGCTCACCTAATATTCGGAGACCTTGTTCAAACCCACCTGAGACCCAAACATGTTTCGTAAGGAGCACTGTGTTTGCGAACCTTTTTGAATGCACTCATTTATATAATCTCATTTACAAAACGTTAAAGCCAGTGGCTTGTACTGCTTCGGTAAATATTTGAGGATAAACCCAGCGCGTGAACAGATCCAAACCTTAAACCTGGCACAGCAGGTTTTCACTTCCAAATCAAACAAGTGAATGACGACTTTCCCATGATGCATCCTCTTCTTCTGCCAGATTGGATGTGTGAATGCATTACTGTTGCGTCTATGGATTTATGGGTCTCTATGGGTCTATGGGCTGATAACATTGCGCTGATGAATATCTGCTGTGGCTCCACGAGTGTGCCATTTGGTCTTTGCGTTTGCAGCTGGGACTGATCCCCATTTTTCAATAATTTCCATATATAAATACTAATACGCTACAAATAGTTCCGGCCCTATTACAAACAGTTCCAGGGCTAAAAGGGTCCAGGTCCACAACAGAAGTTAGTGGATAAACAATGATAAACAGGCCAACCGGACTGCTAATGCATACGTGTAAACAGATGGCAGGTTGGAATGCTGGCTAGAAAACTGCTTTTCGATTGCGTCAGACTTCAAACGCTCGTAAAGCTATGTAAAGCTCAGGCGAAAACAAACTCGTTGTCCCTCTCATCATCCTGACCATCTAGGGTCCTTGGCACGCCCACTGAGATCGCTCCCATCAAGCGAAGGGCTCATAATACACATCCGTTCAGATTTAATCTTGGGCTTTTCTATGCTTTGCGATATTTTATGTACTCTGTTGAATTCAACGGCTAAGATGCGGACCAAAGTCGTGCAAAGCGAGTCTGCTCTTCGGCCGTCATGGCTTGGCATCGCGAAGGGTCAATTTCAAACCATCTGAGAGAATTTTGTTTTGGCGCAGCACCTGAAGAGCTTTTTGAGCCAGGGCAGGGGCGCCATGGACACAGGCCTTGTCATCAGATTCCCCCAAAGTCCCCAACATGCCACCGACTTGCCCTCCAAGTCTGTTCCTATCCCCGTTTTCAGAAATTGTATCAAAGCATACTTGCGGGGTCCGGACCACCCAGTGAAGCGCAAACGACCGGCACAGGCAGGACCTTGTTGGCGCAGTTCTTGTCCGTGGACCAGTGGATCTGAACATGCACACAAGGGGCGTTTGAAATGCGATGAAGTTGTCCGAAGGTCCGAAGGTTCCTTTCCTTCCTGTTCTTGTTCATCGATGCAAAATTTCCACCATTGGATTGGAACAAACGGCCAAGCATAGCCAAAGCAGTGTCAAGAATTGAATTCTGAGAGGAGTCGGTCTGGCCCTGCCTGCATCTGCTTGACGCATCGCGCCAGGCCAGGCCTGGAAACCATGATGAAACATGTTCGGGTTGGCAAGGATTCCAGAGACTTTGCCAAAACAATTCAAGAAACACATCATCCTTCATCATCCTGAAATGTTTTTGGGAAATAGATTGCGAGGTCCTGCCAGGAGCAAATCCCATTGGCTCCAGCACTTTCGCAAGGCTCTCTGCGACCATGGTCCTCAACGGCTGTAACATGTTGTAACGCATGTCTCCCATCCCACAATTCCCACATTCCTGAGAAGTTGCCAAGATGCTGTCGCAGCTGTTCTGTGTCAAAGCTTGAGCTCTCGAGCTCTGGCATCTTCTGCCATTTCTTCTGCAACATGGACCCCACCTGGTCTCCATCATTCGCTGAGGAAAGGAGAGGTCTCGTCGATCCCACAACGCCTTTCTCCGGGACCTTCAGAGCCGCGATGGCTTTGCAGCGGCGGAGAACTTTTAAGATTTCCTTCACCGAGCTGAGGTTCGGTCTGAAACTCCATACCAGAGAACACCTGCAACAAGTGACGTGCTGTGACTTGTTTGTCTTCAAAGCAGTATTCGCACTCAAACGTTCCACAAGTAGGCAAGCACGAACATGGAACGGGAACTCCGAGATTAGAAGTGTGAAGGAATAAGAGTCCAGCAGTGCCCAGTGCTGGCAATGTGGCCTCTTCCCATTTTTTCATGAGCTCAAGGCACTCCGTTGGATTTGAAATCACAGCAGTGCCTCGAGATCCAGTTGCCAAAACAAGCAAATTGAAAACTTTGCTGCCACCACCATTCACCATTTCAATCATTTCAATGTCCTTGACTGCATCAATTGGACACTTGAGGGCATCACCTCCAAATGGCTCATCAGGAATGTATTTCTTGATGACTGCTGCTCGAGTTTCCTCATCTAATCCATCCAAGTACCTGCACTTTGTTGAAAGAAAGCCAGATTGAAAAGGTGCTGATTGCTGCATCAGTGAGCAGTTTTGGTAGCACAGCTGCCTGTCTGACGGCATATGGATCGGCATAGGAAGCTCAGTATCTGCATCAGCCTGGAGTTCTTTTCCCATTGGAACAAGAAGCAGAACAACTTCTTCTACCTTTTCATCCATTTACTTCAGCATATCATGAGCAGCAAAATCATAATCTTTACATATCTTTACATGTTTGCACAAACTACTACTAGCTCAGCTCTCCCACCTCTGAGAAATGATTCACAATCTCGGAAACCCATCTGTCAACCTCGAGCAAAGCTGGTGATGCTCGTTATTTTGAAATCTGCTCTGGGCTCAACTGTAAGCATGGAAGATGCAAGGAGCGCTGAGTTGGAAACACATCTGAGCACCAGGGGAGCCTGTGCTTCGAGAAAAAAAAAAAACATACGGCTGCAAATACGCTGTACCGCTGTACGTATAAGCAATTGGCTCCCCAAGCACAGTGTCTCAATGTGTCTCAGTTCTTGACTGCAGGATCCAAAATATGACCGGAGCCCACAGGTTCCTTCCGAAGTGGAAAAGATTGGTGGTCAAAAGGATCGCAAAGGTCAAAAACAAACAAACAAACAAACAAGCGCGTCACCACGTTTCTTGAGCAAAGTCCGGTCCAGAATCTTGTGGGAGAGATCCTCGCAATGAGACCAACTTTGATGTTGCGAATGTTGCACAACTGTGTGTTTCACTAAGGTAGTTGCTTTGCAGTGGTCATGTCCTTCTGTTTGAAGCATCTCAAATCTATGTGTTTGACCAAGAATCAAGAATGAAGCAGCTCTGGACAACCATCCGTCCTTGAATCCAAGCTCTGTGAGAGCATCCAGGGCCAGGGCCTGCTGCAGCAATGAAGTACTACCCCCCAACAAGTAAAGGACATGTAAAACAAATCATCCGCCAAACCATCATTTTTTGCAATGCATTTGCATGTGTTTAGAATCAGCTTAGAATAATTTCTGGTGTTTCGCACTCTCTTCTGCTGGCATGCCCAATCAAACATCAGTAGATCGGCAGCGGTCTATGTGAACATCGTCCGCGCGCTAACGCAAATCCAAGCTCTCAGAACAACGTGAAACCAATGTCCTGGAGGTCAGGATCACTGTCAACCGATCTACTTATACACTGGGCCCTGCATAGCAGTTGCAGCCTGGAAAGAAAACATCAGAATGATCTTGTAGAAACGGCAAGGATTTTCTAGTTCCCCCGTCCCGATTTCTGTGCACCAGCAAGGTTGAATAGGATTCAATTGCCTGCTGTCGTTGATAGTAAGTAGTTTTTCGGAAACAACAATGACAAGGGACCCTGAGCCAACGCTTTCTGGGGGAACATCTCCATGAAAAATGCGGGGAAAATGCGGAAACACTGTTTCAGAATGAATTCCATTGTGAATTTCATGTGCAAATTGTGCAATCAGATTTCCAACATCGAATTGGAGGCAGCACAGGACACCAGGATTCCGGACAGGCTCAGTGTGGTGGTTCCAGGAGTTCCTCACCAGTGGGGTTCGCCTTGTGGCAGCAAGATCAATTGACAGTCGAGAAGGCACCGGCTGTACACTTGCATTTTGGGGTGAGTTCTGAACACCCCAATCACCCAAACTAAGATCTTCGGACCATGTAGCCAGGAGGTGGAAGCATCTTCCTGAGATCGCATCTTCCTGAGATCATCGGAAGTGACATCTTGACGTGGCCCAGCATACTTATTGAGTTAAATTGCTAGCAGCTGTTGGTTGGACCCCGTCTTTGGTCCAACTCTCAAGTTGCAAATGCTTTGCTTTTTGTAAGTTGTTCAGTTCCTTCATTGCCGCACCACGTGGAAACACTTTCCGTGCCACTGACGATTCATGATTCATATAGGGAATGGTTAACAAGACATTCATTCATTTGCCAAGATTCAGCACAAAAAAAAAACTATGCTGTCATTTTATCGCCATTGCCGAAGCAAGACTGTTTTGTCTCAAGCATTTGTTTTCTGAAGTGTAAACACCGGTTGAGTTCATGACTGTTGGGAGCAAGGACCAAATAAGGGTTGGCATGGCTTCGGAGGTTAAGTCAGGCTACGTCTGTATGCTGCAAACACCATGATGATAGCTAATGACTCCTGCAAGTGTCTAACCATTTCTCTTAGCTCCTTACGGCTGAAGCGCTGTCTCTGCTGATTTAGCTTGTCAATCTCTTGAGTGGAGTGGCCTCAAAAGCACATCTATCTTGCAAAGCTTCAGCTTCTCAGAAAGCTGCATTCTCTGAAGGGAAGGTTTTCAGCAAACGGTAAACTAACTTTCCAAAGCATTCTCCAGGTTGCCCAACTCGCTTGATGAGTTCCTTCTTGACCGGTGCCGTCCGTAGATTGAACCTCATCAGAAACGACATTTGGAATCATACTGAAAATCAGCGTGTGATCAACGTCAACTCTGCGCCGTACCCTTCTGGCTGCTGGGCAGCAAATCAACATCGCTTCGAAGTCCAACAAAGAAACAGAGCTGGGCAGTTGGCCCCCTCCTCGCCGACCAACTTTGATCATCGAATCATCTTCATCAATTTCCTGTGCCAAGTGAAGCTATGTAAAACATCCAAAACTAAATGTAGTGTAATTATTTCTTTGTTGCGAACTGGAATCAAACAGTTGACATGAAATTAAAGTAAGCTTAAAGTAATTAGACCAAGTTGCACCCAGCTTCCTCTGCTGCCCCCTTCTCAGCAGCTGCCTCCTGGGCGACTCTTTTGAACTACAGTACCCACAACTGGATTAGTCACTGCAAATCTGCATAGCCAGGTGTGTCTGAAAATGGCAAAAGAAGCTGTTGCCTACTCAGTGTCTTCATGGCACCTCTTCTTTCTTCCGTCGCCGCCGCGCACGGCGCGCTTTGTTGTTGCGGATTCGCTTTGCCTTCCGATCTGCCTGAACACCAGTCAACTGTTCCAGCTGTGGGCAAAGAACATTCCACCCGGGCCTTTGTTTCCATACCCAAGATTTGTTTCTTGTACCTGGGTCAAGTCGAATATGTCGAATGATTTTACAATGCTCTCACCCAACGCACGCCCAGATTGCAGTCTTGCGACAGGCTGAATCGTCCAAGTTTTGTAACCGACTAAGGGTAACTGGGCTTCAAGCAGTTCTGCAAGTCGCCGGCGGGCTGACACGCGGTTCTCCAGCTGAGTGCGATGAGTTTGTGCCTTTACCTGGGGCATATCCGAACATTTGATGTAAAAATCCGTCGTTGTGCAAATGTTGTTTTTTCGAAACGATTCAACTGAACCACCGCGATACAGATGATACATCGCAACGCTCCTCATAAACACCTCCCTCCTTGTATGGAAGCATCCTAAAGGTGATCATGGCAATCACTTTCTGTGGCTGGTCATCTTCTTCGAGCCTCCAGCCCAGAGGGGATGTGCCGCAGGCGTACCGCAGTCTCAACCTGCATGCTGTCAAAAATGGCTACAGTGTGTAGAACTGTCAATAAATATAATAAATTGGGTTGAGTTCAGATTGCAGCAGCACAAGTACATGCACGAGGCGGGGCGGAAGTACCATCAGGAACACTTACATGGGCATGGTTAGGGGCTGCGCCGCATGCAATCACCAAGCCGCACGAGCATCGCCCCAGCCCTTTCTGTCGAACAACACATTCTGAGGCGAAACCGAAGGTTCAAGGTTCACACGAGTCTGGAAACATCGGAGCATTTTCTATGTTGACCATGTCTACAAAATGAAAAACTTGAGGCCAAGGGATAAGGGATGAAAGCTAGCTGGGATGGTAAAGGGAGAAGGAGGAAGGCGCGGTCAAACAGCGGTGCATCAGGTGAGGAATTGGGAGATAGGACGTGGAGAGTATTGTTGATGATGCTGATGATGATACTGGGTATGTAATGATGCGGACGGCGACAATGCCGATGATGCTGCTGATGCTGATGATGCTGACAGTGAGGATATGGCGAGGATGTCCCCAGGGGGGATTGACCCGCGGCAAAACTGTTTGTGAAAAAGGGGGAAGGGGGGATAGCTAACTGTGAAGTTTCATGCGATTGGCGATGGTGATGGTGATGGTGATGATGATGATGATGATGATGATGATGATGATGATTGTGATGATGCTGCTGCTGCTGCTGGTGGTGGTGGTGGCGGCGGCGGTGACGATGGTGACGATGGTGGCGGTGACTGTTGGGGTCTTACTCATGTTGTTGCTGTTGTTGTTGTTGTTGCTGCTGCAATGTATCGTTGTTGTGTCTTATTTGGTGTTATTGGTATGTACTCTGTGATGCAATTTAAGGCATTCCGGTATTCCTGGCATTCTTGCGGCTGTTGTTACTGTCGCTTTGATGGATTGCAATGTGAATAATAATGAAATCTATCCATAAGTCGGAAGATTGTTTCTGGACTCCCTTCATGATGACTATATTATATAATTCAACAATTCAGTTCATATAGTTCATGACATGTTAAATTCATAATCATATTCATGATTATTCAATGCTTTTGAAAAGTTCTCCGCCTTGTTGACGTTTTGACCTCCAGGTCCAGAGGATCTGGTGAAGCTCTCGTCCAGGTCTTTCAGGACCATGCCCAGCTCTTCCAGCTGCCTGCAGAATCTGAGTTGTGAGTTGTCTAACGCAATGCTTTTGACATCTTTTGATCACTTCAACAAACTTTGCCAGAGACCACCCCAAAGGAGCACCTGTCAGCTTTGTCAATATCCGGACCAACGCGGAGTCGGATCCGTTCCCTGAAGCTTCGGTCAGCTGTGAAACCTCAGTGAAACAGGCGTTCAAACTCTATTTGTTTTCAAAGGTCAGAAGAAGAACTGCAGAAACAAACAAAAAACTCACATTTTGCTCACAGGTTGGATTTGGTCAAATCTCGTCTCCTCGCTGCAAGCAAGTCTCTTTCCACCAAGGCAAGACCTAAAATGGATAAAATGGATGCTCAACATCTGGGTGGGAAAAGGCAAAAGTATCGTCTCCAAGCGCAAGCGGCCACGACCGCTATTTTTGAACAAAAATTAAAGAATCTCGGGACAAAGCCTCCTGCGAGCACACAAAAAAGTAGTTGCTGACATCGATAAGGGCGGCGCATGGCGTTATAGGTCTAGATCATGTCTGGTGATGTTGTATGTTTGGGGAACAGCTTGCTAGCAACAGACCCATAATCTTTCACAGTAGAATTTCGAGATCTAGTCAAAGTTGTGTAAAGTTGATAAAATAACGCTGGAAAAATAAAAATAAATGAGAACATTTTGTTTGCTTGCATTCCCATTCAATGTTCATGTATATAAATGTTCAAAGCTTGGGGCAGTTTTCTGGCTCTGGCAAGCATGACAAGAGCACAATCGCCAAATCGGCCACAGTAGTCTCCACTACTGCACCCCGTGAGTCCAAAATCAATGGTGTCTCAAACACCTTCCACATCTTCAGGCAACATGGTAACGCTGCGCACTCCTTGTGTCCCACATCACCTGTCACAAATGGAGCAGTGCCTGCCAGGAAATCTGCGCCTCTGCAGCCGAGTGCTCCAAATCCATGGCAGCCACAGCATCTCGCAGTGCCGCTTTGGGCTCCTGAACTGGTGGAGCCAACTGAGCCAGCAAGGGATTTCTATGGATTTCTATGGATTTGTAGATAGTCGTAATGGTCCGTCTCCATGGCAAACTCTTTAATTAAGCCAGCATGCAATACGTGTTTGCAGCAACATGATTTCTGATCTGGCCGAACAAGAGAATCTCTGCTAAACTTGTGATTGGCACTGAGCACTGATTTGTGAAGTGGCCGGTTAGCAGTTAGCAAAATTTAGACCGTAGTTCTTGCAAACAACAATCTTGTCACCCCGTGCAGCAAGCGGGTCCTTCAGCTGTAAATGGGCAGTTCCCCTCTGAGTCAGCAGCAGGCAAGCACCTCTGCGCACACAGTGAATGGCTCAGTCTCTTCTGGCGCGTCCCAGTCATAAAAAAGGCATAATCAGATTGGAATCAAGTTGACATATGTGCAAACATTATGTCTTATGATGAATTATGTATTTACTCTGCTGTATTGTATTGCACCATGCTATAATGTGTTGTACTGTACCGTCATTGTAAGCAATATATGCATTATATATGCCCTATATGCAACATGCATTGTATTGTATGCATTAGATACATTCTATGCATTATATGCATTATACATATACATTACGAACATTACATTGATTGTACACATTATCTACATTCTATTCACTATATACACTATCTACACTATATACACGATATACATTGTACAGTACACATTATATACTGTACATACCTTACATACCCTGTATACCTAATGTGCTTTATAATTTGTATCTATATATATATAGTGTATATCATCGTATACAGTATATACGACAAAAATGACTAGAGTGTGGTATACGCTTTACATACATTGCATTCCATTGCATTGAATGGCATTGAATTGCATGGCATGGCATGGAATGGCATGGCATGGTATTGCATTAGATTGCATAACATGGCAGAACATGACATAAGGCAGCGTAAGGCATTGTAAGGTAACGTAAGGTAGCGTAACATAACATACATTGTATGCATACGAGCTCCCGTCAAAATCCTTTACATCTCAGTAGTTGCTATTGTCGATTTATCGCTTTTGGGGAGCCATATCGCTTTCCGGTGTTTTGTGTCATTGTCGCTTTTGGGGGGGCATATTGCTTTACTATGTTTCGTGCACATCTATGACAAAAACTCCTGCAATACTAAAGTATACAACAGTGGTCTTCAACCATTTTGACCGTGACTCATATTATGTTACCGTTATATATGTTGATATCGATCAATACCGAAGATCTCCCGACAGTGATCCTGCTAATTTCACACTCCGGCCCAACCGAGGTTCAGACGGCTTCGGAAACCTTCATTTAAGCGGTCAGTAGTTTGCTTGAGCATGTCTATCCCAGCCTTGCGCAAGTAGCAAAATGCTTGAAAGCCAGCGCTGAATCTAAGTATTGCCGTATTGCCACTGTTGGACTTCTTGGCCCGCGTCATCTCGCGTCTCAGTTCCGTGCCGTGTAGTGTTGGATTGCACTTTGCCAGTCCTATTTGAGGAAAGCTATGAGTATTACTACAGTATCAATTGGGTTCCCTTGACAAAGGATACATTATGATACATTTAAGACAAATGTCATGAAAACAAATATAAGCTTGTGGGAAAACTGTCCTTTTGCTCCATAGCATCATCCCCTGCAAGCTTGGAATCATCAGCCGAGAAGAAAAAGACTTCGTCCATGTGCAGCAACACCCTGCGAAGAATCTGGAGCAGATTTCAAACTTGCAGGTTCACACAAATATCCAACAAGTGCACCGAAGGTGCTGGGGCGTGATCTTCCGGATGGCACTCGTAAAAAGGTTACAGGTTTACCTGGGGGGGGGGCATTTTTCGTCCAAAACCTCCTGTTTTTGATAGGTCGTGACGCTCGCCTTCAAAAAACACTGTAAAAAACAGTACGGAAGACACCTGTTCGTGAACGCGCCCGTCCAAAATCGGCAAGCGAAAAGTGAAAAAACCCCGTGTTTTTCAACTTTTTGACCTCAATTTTTTGGTTTGCAACATCTTTTTTTGCGGTTCCGCAGGTGGCCGGGCCCGGAGGCGGATTTTTGAGTTTTTGGACCCGTTTTCGGACTGATTTTCGTCGTTTTGTGATAGCAGAAACACTTGTTTTTACAGTGTTTTTCTGTTTTCTGCATGCTTGACGGCTAGCTTCAAAACTTCCAAAAACCTCGTAAATTACGCTGTTTTATGTTACGGTGTGAATGAAAACATCGTAAATACCAGTGTTTTTTGACGTTGGTTAAAAAAACACTGTAAATTACAGTGTTTTTGGCCACCTGACCCTCGAAAACCATGGTATTTGCAGTGGTTTCTGCTTCTCACCGCGCAAAAACACTGTAAATAACAGCAATTTCGCCGTTTTTTCATGTTTTTCGTTATTTTTTGAACTGTGTTGGTCCGCTATACATGGCTATCAAATTCTTCGCGTTTTTTTTTCCGACAATCGGTACTTTCGGATGATTTTGGTCTCAATGGCCGACATCATTGGCAGTTACGAGCGGCTGCCCAACGATGCGGTGCGGGCGGTTGCCGTCGCGAAGCGACGTGAATATCCAACAAGTTGCCTTGGTATCTGAAGGGCCTCCTAATTGTCCCTTCCTGCCCGCACGTCATCTTTTGTCGATATGAATCATTGCTGTCATCTTTTGAGCTCTTCGCTTGATGGCTGGGATGGGCTCGTCACCACCAAACCTTGGGACAACTCGTCACTTCTCCCTCCCGTCCCTCCCGTCCCTCCCGTCCCTCCCGTCCCTCCCGTTTTTTTGTCAACGTATTCTCCGGACGTGCACAACCCAGAAATCTGAGCATTTGAGACATCTCTTTTTCTGTTGAAGCTCGAATGCCCAGACGGTGAGACAGCTGGACTGCACCAGCAATTCTACAGGACTGGAACCGGTCGTAAAATTTCAGTTGAGCAAAGGGCAGAGGGGTTAAGGATGGAACATGTTGACCTCAGGAGTACAGGTCATTGTCCAGTAACGTCAGTAACTTGTCTCTACCACTCTGATCTCGAAATATCTCGAAGAAGGCACACAGGTGCAATTCAAAACGAATTCGCAATGCAAATTACCCAAAGTCTATTCAGACATGTGCGACGCTAGCATTGCATAGCATTGCATCGCATTGCATAGCATTGCACTGTACAAAATCAGCAGGGAGACATCTTCTGTTCAGACTTCGTCTGCGACAAATAGATCAGTCTGCATTGGTTGAAGCCGCTGACTGCTGAAGAGATTCCATCGCTTTCAAACATGCAAGATGTAGAAGCTCTGTCTCGCATCTTTGATGTTTACAACAAGTTGTAGCGATGCTGTAGCTGGTAGCATCCTTGCCCAAGCAAAAACAGAGGAGAAAGTATATAATATCTTATCACTGCGGAGAAACGTCCGATGGGGAGGGAAATAGACCCGTTGTTAGTGAATGGCTGGCATCTGTAGTGCTACCGTCAACATTTGCCGAACATAAACATTTGCCAAGCAAACTTCCAGGACGTTTCTCAATATCTTGGTCGTTTCTCAAGTGAACTTAGTCCTGGGATCCACAGAAATTCGGTCAAGTATCTGGTTGCTGTATGTGATGGAGGAACTCCAGCACGCTTTGCCATCTGAGGAAAGGCAAAGCTGCATTGCCAGCCGAAGCCTTGAAAAAGACATGACAAAAACAGCAAACTACTTGTGCTCCATTCGCAAAATGCCATATTTCCTCAACGCCCCAAACCCCCCAACAGTAATAGGGCACTGATGGCAAGCCGATGGTTGTACCACCGTGGAGTGTATCATGCCCTGAGAAGGCATCGTAGAGAAATTCGCTTAGATCTGTGCATGGTAATTGAGTAGCATCAATTTCAAAGCCTTGTGGAAAAGCGGAGATGGTGGTTAGCAAATAGTGACTTTGTAGGTCTCAATGTCAAAAAGAACTTCGCCATACTTCACCAGGGTTCTTTGACATTTGACAGACATCAATTGGCTGCCTTTCTCAAGCCTAAGAAAGCATAGCTTCCGAGGCAACCTGGACTCTGTGCCAGCTGAGCAGCATCCACCCGCTTCCAGCCCAGTGCCAGGGGCCAAGCTCCTGCCTCAGTTGATCCCTTTCTGGGTACCTCCTGGAGTACACATAAGGTGGCCTTCAAATGAATGAAAGGACTTGAGACTCTTTATCGTGTCGTGTCTTCCTGCTTGTATATTATATATATATGCTTTTGTCACCTTTTGTCTGATATTGAAGTGGACTCTGCGAGTGCGTCTCACTTGCAGCCCTCGTTGAGTCTCGCAATCTGCCCAGCTGCAAAACTTTCCGTTGCGGGCTCCAACCCTGAGGACAGCCATGGACAGTTTCGCATGGTCATGGGACAGCCATGGACAAATCGTGGCTGTCTTTGCAATTCTCGGTCCTGCATCGCGAGCTGCGCGTAGGGATAGCTGGGCAATCTGCCAGTGGCTGCAAGCTCTTCCAACCTGATCAAAATTGATTAAACCACTTTCATTTGGTAGTGGTTCCAACTTTGATAGCTATCCCCACTGTTCCAATCCAAATTTCCTGAGATGGGAAGCTGAGGCGACAGCTGCTTCATAGATCACTGCGTCGCTACGAACCATAATGGACCTAGGTCGGAACGAAAATGAGCAAAAGCTTGTTTGCTCCAAGAAGTGAGCTTAGTTGACTGGAACTACTGTAACTCACTCCAAGCATCAAGAGTTGAGCAGCTGACGACATTGCAGCATAAAGGTTCAACGAAGTCTGCCATTGCTGGCACTTGTTGCCTTGGAAATTGGGTGTCATCAACTGTCGTAGTCCCAACATTCCAGCATGGACTCCAGTGTTTTGTTTGCGGAACAACTTTGAGAAACTTGGTTTCTTGTCCAGGTGGATTCTACAATCTATTCGACTTAGATTGAATAGACATGACCTGTGGCCCCTTTAATCTTACACCAAAGGCTGAGTCTCGAGCTTGCGCTCAACAGAGAAGTGAAAATGACCTGGTTGGCCAATACTGCTGAAGACCTTAGTAGTGAAGACTAGCTTGGCATATACAGTACACAAGCACCACAATATATATATATATACTGTTGAGGTTCCCCGTAAGCAAGCAGTGATTCCAGCTCATGGACCGATGGAATGATTACGATTCAAGGTCAAAAAGGATCAGTGCCGCTTTCCATGACAATTCAGTGTGTCCATGTGTTTTTCTCTTTTGGTCTTGGTGTAAGATGGTGTTAGCAGGATTCCAGTTTCTCATCTTGCAGTGCTCTGCTTGCTGTGTACACAAGAAAAATACAGTGACAGTCGAAGAAAGTACTTAAAAGCAATTGCCCAATACGCCAAGATACCACATCCATTCCAATAAAAGGACGGCTTGCAACCAACACGTTCCTGTGTCCAAACCCAAAGCAAACGCGTGGCAGCATCCCATGTCCGGCCTGGGCAAAATCTGTCATGTGCAGAAATAATAAAGAGAAGATGACTATGGCTGTCTCATGTTCAAGGAATGCAAGCATCAAACAGACTCTTGAAGGAACAAAGACGTGTCAAACGTGTCAAAGACAACGAGTGGCCTCAGGCTCTCAGACCGGACTTTGGATAGGACCACAGCTGCCTGGGCAGAAGCAAACAAATCTGCCTATCCTGCCAGCATTTCCAGCCAGAAATCCCCTCACACATGTCCTCCAACCAAGGAGCCCTAGCCCAACGTGTCCGTGCAGCACTCAGCAAAGCTGTGAAGGAGATGATGTCCAAAGACACAGAAGTCACAGCCTTGGATAACTAGGTCCCGCGAAAGAGGAACATAAGAAATGAGTTTTAGAAAAAGAAAAAAACACACATAAACAGAACAACTAGCACTGACTACTACTGATTAGCATCCCAAGGCTTGTCATGAAGTTTGGAGCATCAGCCCGGTCACTTTGGTCACTTGAGGATATAAAGCGGCTTCTCCCATCTCACAAATCCAGGTTGTGTATACACAACTCATCTTCCAAAATATGTCATGGTCCTCTGCCGACTAGGGTCATTGTCAGCCCACCTTTCGGCTATGCTGAAACTCTGCTGCCAGGCTCCAGCTTTCTCACAGGCACTTAGAACGGAGTTGCAACCTCGAATCTGGCAGAATCTGGAAGCGAGCCAAAATCCAAACTGATACAATGCATGCGTGGAAATTTTGGCGCAAAAGGCAACGAAGGTGTTGGGTACAGCATTCTTTGGGGTATGCAACTGATATATACGTGCTCGCAAATGATTTCAAACATGGAGGTGTCACTCTCCACAAGTAGCAAGTTTGGAGGATACAAAGCCTCTCAAAAGAAGCTTAAACTAGAACGCCGTGGTGCTGATAATGTTCGGCTGCAAACTGCTCGAGCGCATTGTCAGTAGCAGACCTGTCCAGCAACTAAGTGAAGTTGTTGGACTAAAGAGCTTTGCTAGTCTTTGGCAGTCAGTTGCGGAAAACCAGGAACATGCGCTGTTGCGAAAGCAAAGTCAAAATGGTGGACATGTTGCACAGCTTCAAATTTGCAACTTGGCAGCGGTCTCACCTATGCCCATTCTCCAATGTCGGCTTTTTTCACAGGCACTGATGCATGCCTTGTTGGAAACCCTTTCACTTCCTCCCTTGACGCTTGTCCAACAGCCGTTCGAAACGAAAGTGTGACGGTGCCAAGTGGCCGTGAGAGAGATCACATCAGCCAGTGTTGAGCAAGCTGTGCACGTACTCAAAGCAATCAAACCAATTGACCACATGCCACACTTCTCACATGCGCTGATGGCCTTGGAGGTTCAAGAAATGGATCCCATCACCCTAAGCCCCATTTATATTCTACTCCCCAGGCCCAAAACGAAAAAAACCATACTAAACCAGATTTTGGGGGGTATCGAGGGGCATGCGACATGTCATCAACAAATCAATCAGCAACTATCATCACGGTTCACTCTTTCATCTACAGCCCAAATGCCCTCAGCTTGTGGCTGAATTTCGAAGAATGATGTCAGGAAGAAGTCCAGCAGACCTTCGTGAGACAATAGCTAAAACGATCCAAAAATAATGGAAGAGTTGCCGAGAAAAATGTGAACAAAACATGGAAACTCAAACTAAGAACATGACCGAACATGGCTCACCAAATGCATCGCCAACAACCATTGAAAGCCCTTCTCAAGAGCATATATGAGACCGGTAGAAGCCACTAGGTCAACCTCGAGGCCTTGATGACGGCCTGCCGAATTTGATCAGCGATTGAACAATTTGGCGATCGTCAACGCAATTTGGTTGCACTATGTTGCACTGTATACTCGTGGTTGTCTTTTTGTCTTTTCCCAGATTCTTTTTGGAAAACAATGCCAAAGGACGCAGGTGTCCGCTCTGATCTAGCAGAAACAGATCCGTTTGGAACTGCTTTTGTCATGACTCATGATTGAAGAAAGTCTGAGACGACAAAACTGCTTAGTCAAAATGTCTCAGCTCAAAAAAAAACTGGGTTTTGGCTCAGGAGTACCCCAACCTACCCAAATTTGGATGCGTTTCTCTTCTGCGTATACATATATATATATATGTGTATATATATATATACGGCAAATGCCTGGGCTTTGCCCGGACCCGCAATGACGACAGGCGACGCATCATCATCATCATCATCATCATCATCATCATCATCATCATCATCATCAATCATCATCATCATCAGAATTAAACCCTTATTGAAGATCTTCAGTGAATGTAGAAGTTTAACGGGGGTGGGAGAATTAAACCCTTATTGAAGATCTTCAATGAATGTAGAAGTTTAACGGGGGTGGGAGAATTAAACCCTGATTGAAGATCTTCAATGAATGTAGAAGTTTAACGGGGGTGGGAGAATTAAACTCTTATTGAAGATCTTCAATGGATGTGGAAGTTTAACTGGGGTGGGAGTTTAATATTCCCTAGTACCTTTGTTGTTTTTCCAATAGGAATTTTGTGAAGTTGCATCAACATTTGTTTGGGAATGGGAAACCTCTACGCTGAAACGCCTGGGCAAAGCCAGGCGTTGCGCGCGTATATATATATATATATATATATGTATGTATGTATGTATGTGTGTGTATGTATATATAGATAGATAGATAGATAGATAGATAGATAGATAGATAGATAGATAGATAGATAGATAGATAGATAGATAGATAGATAGATATAGATAGATAGATAGATATATAGATATATAGATATATAGATATATAGATATATAGATATATAGATATATAGATATATAGATATATAGATATATAGATATATAGATATATAGATATATAGATATATAGATATATAGATATATAGATATATAGATATATATGTAGATATATTATAGGTATAGAGTTCATATACCATGTATATACTAATGTATATCAACCATACCCAACATTGGGCCTCACCTGAGCTCACGGAGGTCACGGAGCTGAAGATCTGCTGACAGCGTTCCCAGGCACTGCCTTGATACCATGCATCAATGCACGCGGTTTGCGAAACGATGCTGGGTTGCAGCGCCAAAAACCTGCAAGAAAAATGGACAGAAAAAGCAAGTTGGATATTTCACATGATGACCGATTGGATGCACCTTGATGCAAAAGTAAAGCCTCATTTCTGCACATGTTCCTTCACACAAACAGAGGAAAAAAAATTGGAGAGGTTGTGTTTCTCCAGTATAATGATGCATGATGGCTAATTCTGCCTAGTTCTTGTCCTACCTTTGCGTCCAGAACTCTCAGGTTCCCTCCGTACCTCATTTGCAAGGCAAACACCAGCGCATGCTGCCACCAAGAACCACGAGCAGCTGAGGTCATTTGTCTATTCCAAGCATGAAGCTTTCGAAGCCCGTGAATATCGTGAATCGGTCGCTTGTCCTCTGCAAACTGGGTGGATGATCTATTTCTCACTGTATCCATCTGTGAGGCTTTCAGCATGATCATGAAACTCACTGTGGGTCATACCGTACCCCCTATTATGATGGGTCCTACTATCAAGGGCAAAAAACAAACGAAGTAAAACTGACCACCTGGATGCTTTGAACTGCATCATGGCTCAGCCAAGCAGCCATGGCATGAAGAAATGCCACACCATCACAACAGAGCCATTCCCCCTGTCCCCCTTGAAGGTTCCAGCCCTTACCCTTTGGGCCACAAAATCAAAGCAAAACCCTCGAACAAATCGAACAAAGAAAATGCTCCTCACCACCTCACCTGTTTTCGTGTCTGGCGACCATAGGCTGAGGTTTCCACTTTTTCCAGCCAGAGGCCGGAACTGTCAAGGACTCTGTTCTTGCCTGGGTTTCTTCATCCACTAAGACTATGCCAATATACGATGTTTGTACACCTGCCAACTGGCTTGAAGGAAAAGTTTCATGTCTTGAGACATTGCCAGTGCGATTGAGATCCAGACACCGTACAAAGGCTGACCACTTTTGCCAAGCAGCCACCCGTACTGCATCAAGCAAATCGGCAGCAACGGACTTGACAAACTCAAACTCACAGATCAAAACTTGCCACTTGACCCTAGTAAAATCCACTAGAGCTAAAGCGTATCTATGTGCCCTGCCTTTACTGCACCTGTTTTCCTTAATCAATGGCATGGATCAACCAGACTTCTCTTGCACAGCTGTCGACATCGCAAACAAGTGTTGCAAGATTTCCATGCGTCAGCAGGTCCAGGGGACAGCATCCGGTAGCTTCTGAACACATCTGAACACCATATTTTTTGGACCAAGCAGCGCGTTCTTGTGCGGTTCCCTGGTGATCTTGAGTTCCTGTCCTCGATCAGCATGTTCGTAGACCTAGCCAAACCAATTCAAAGACTCTTCGGTCCAATCATGTCCGTCTTCGGAGAAAAGTTAAAGAGAGGGACCAGCTTGACAGCTTGGTACGGTATACCATTTATATCTATGTATCATCATTTACCTACAAATTAAAGGAGCCTTGTTCAGTTCCCTTCTATTGGTTAGCTGGATATTGATTCCCTGAGTGGTTTCAAACAGCCCCCATGAGTCCATGTCCTCCCTATATACATAAATAATATATATATATATATATTATATTATATATATTATATTATATATATTATATTATATATATTATATTATATATATAATTATATTATATATATAATTATATTATATATATAATTATATTATATATATAATTAATGCAAAGGTGGGGTATGTCACCGAACCCCCATGACACCCTGCAGCACGATCAGCTGCACCTTTTGCCAGATGGCTGTCGGTATGACAACCTGGGTTAGATTTGCACCCCCTGTGTCCGCAGTGCCTGTTTTGCACGTAGGACATTCAAAGGGTAGCGGAGCCGGTCGATCAGGTCAGCTTCTTATGACCTTCACGATTCGAAGCTCCAAAACACATCCGGTGCAGATGTTCCCAGATCTTCACCTTGGGCTGCACCTTCGTCACCAAGTCGGCGTCGTTCAAGGCTCCGGCCACTTTCTCAACGGCCAACTCCTTTGCGAAGACCTTGTCCTGAACCCATAGCACGCGGGCTTGGACATGCCTTGTTTTGCCAACTCCTCGACGTTCGGCTAGCGCTTTGGCCGACGAACTGTCAGCACGAAGCACTGTCATCAAAAGCTCGTGCTCCCAGAACTTCACGACGTTCTCGATGTAGACCGCCAAAGTTCCAGCTCTGCACATTGCATAAAACTCTGACTCCATTGAACTCAAAGCCACCACTTTCTGGCAAGCGGCTTTCACCTGGACCACGTGTCCCCCAAGCTTCACCACTGCTCCTGACGTAGATCTTCTGCTCCTCAAGTCTCCTGCCCAATCGCTGTCCGTGTAGGCAACGACCCTCAGCTCGTCCTCATACTGTACCTTGTAGATTCGCTTCAGGTAGGGAACCTTCAGCAAGTAGCGGGCGCACTTCTTCAGCCTCATCCAGTCAGACAGCTTTGGCGTTTTCATTGCCGACGCCAATCCTCTCACAGCGTGGCAAAGATCAGGTCGATCCGTAGTCAAGTAGGCCAACCTCATAGTCATTGACCTGAACTGGCTTGCCTGCTCTGCATCCAGCTCAGCTTGTCGATCGGCCTCGATCACATCCTTCTCCGTCAGCTTGTCCTCCGGAATGTCTACTCCTTTGGTGCCCTCCTTGAATCCAAAGGCCTTCACGAGGATGTCGGTGTGTCTCGCGTCAGCCTCAATCTCCAATCTGCAACCTTCATTGTCCGCTCCATCCGGCACATAGCGCACCAGTCTGTTCAAAAAGAACATTTCTCGGTCATCTCGTTCTCCATCTCCAAGTGTTGCCTCCCAGCGCGCAGTGTAGCGACTGTTCAACATCTCATCCATCCACTTCAAACCTGCTTCATCTCCAACCACCAAGAAGTCGTCGCCATGAACGAGTCCAAGTAGTCCACGATCCTTGAACTTGAAGAGTGATGTGCAAAGTGCACTGACCTCTCCTCCATGCTTTGACAAATGGTTCTGCCAATCCTCTTGAAAAATTTTCGAAGCATCCATCGTCCCATACATGCTCCTCTCCAACTTGCCAACCATGGGGACGATGTCATCGTTGTGAACCTTGTCCTCCTCTGGCAACTCCATCCAAATGTCTCTTGCAGCTTTTCCCATGAAGTGGGCTCTCGAGATGTCCCAACTGGCAATCTTTTTCTTGTTCTCTTCACCTCGCTTCCTCGTCATAAACAGCGACAGCAAGGCAAACACCGTCTCCGTAGGCGGCGTAGAGCTGAAAGTCTCATTGGGTAGAAGTTGTTGATCTGGAGCTTTTGCTTTTCGGATTTCTTTTGCAACCAGCCTCGATCGGACTTTCGGGGCGTCGTTGTCGCCCTTGTTGATGTCAATCCACTTGATTTTGAGAAGTGGACCTTGTGCCTCTGATGCTGGCACCCGGGTATAGACCTTCTCACCCTTCAGCCATTGCAACTCCTCCGCTCTGGCTCTCTTCACAAGCTCTGCATCCAACGCTGCTCCAGATGAGTCGTCCAGGAACTCCTGCTGGGACTTCTCAACCTCAGCCTCCCATTCGTTGTAGTCATCTGGGCTTGGACCAGTGAGCTTCTCCTCAATCGAATTGATCATTTTCTTTGCCCTCATCTCTCTTTTCAATCCTCTTAGGATCGCTTCCACCAAGGCAGGTGGATAGACTTGTGCTGCTCTCGCCCTCTGCTCTCCAATCAGCTGGACATGTCGGTGAATCTCTTTTCCCGCCAGCTGGTTTTCACAAACTCCTTGAAGTTCCGCAGCAATCTCCTTGCTGTTTGTCAACCACCATGTCTCCTTTCGAACATGTAGCAGTTCTCCATGAGGGTCTTTCAGTTTCATGCCAAACCGGCACATCGGGCTCTGCACCAGGTAGGTGTCCTCTCTGTTGCTCATCTCTTCGACCTCAGGCATCTTCCAACTGTCGGAGTCTTTTGGGTGCTCATGCAAAAACAAACCACCAAGATTGGCTTGCAACTTGCAACAGGCGATTGATCGCCTCACCCTTTCTCTTCCAACCTTCTCCTCTTCTGCAACCACCTGGGGATCTCTCTTGGCATTGGACAAGTTGCGAAGCTTGCTAAACGTAGTGCACGGAGGGGAACTCGTCACCAGCAGCGGCATCTCCTTGACGATGAGTTGAAGACACTCCTTGTAGTCCTCCTTCAGGTCAAGATTCCAACCTTCTTCAAGATCCACTGCAACTCCATGCCTCATCCCAAAGCGTCCAAGCGCCTTTGTCAAACGCTGAGGCGAAAACACCTCCAGCACATCCAAAGCTCCAAGGTCTGCGACAATCTCCGCGGCCTCGATGCTGCCCATTGCGTCCCCAAGTGCCTCAACTGCCTCAGACCTCTGGGTCCCTTCTAACTCGGCCTGGGTCTCCTGAGCCAAGTCCTCTATGTCCTGTGCTCCTTGTTCTCCACCTTTCCTCTTTGGGCTCGTTGGTGGATCCTCAGGCATTTCTGCAACTGGCTGACTCCCGGAGCTCCCCGCAGGCTCTCCTCCAGCCGCGGTCGCCCGCACCGGCTCTCCTCCAGCCGGGGGCGGTGTCTCCGAAAGCCGTTGTTGCAATGCCACTTCAATCCTCTCATCCTCTTCCTTCTGTTTCTTTGTCACTGCCTCCTTCTTTTCCTCTTGCTCCTCCAGGCACCTTTTGATCCTCGTTCTGCATGAGTCTGTATGGGCAATCTGTTGGAAGCCCATGCCACGCAGGATAGAGTCACATCCTGCACATCCAGTTGTCCTTCCAAACTTGTTGAGGTGCTCCCTTCTAACTGCCCATGCTCTCTTCGTTGAAGATGTCCTGGTTGTAGAAGCGCTCGGAGCTCCAACCATCGGGCTCTTGTCGATCATCTCCTCACCTTGATCTCCTCCACCAGCTTGTTCTCCAGGTACTTCAGCATGTTCACCTTCTGCAGCACGTAGTGCGACCACAGGCGGAACCACAATCGCAGGCTGTGCTGCCTGCTGCTCCACTGGCTGATCAAGTTCAGGAACTTGTCGACGAACATAGGTCCTCACGTCCCAAGGTGCTCCTCGTAGTCCATCTGGTAGAGCTTCCCATTTCTCCTCCTCGGTGAGGCTGTGGTAAGAGCTCCCGATCAGAACTCCATCTGTTGTCATTGCCAGCACACTCCCAAAACGGTTGTGTGCCCCAAGAAACCTGGCTGGTTTCATTTTCGCCATGTCTCCTCTTCGTCCTTTGCCGATGGGCTTCACCATGATGTTCTCACCAAAGACCGGCATCGGCTTGATCCAACGTTTTCCTGTTCGGCGTTCTTCAGGTGTGCGGCCGTCACTTCCAACTTTGTACCTGTTGGATTGTTCAGCAGCGTACCGTGGGATCCATGTCAAAAGTGGATGCCCTTCTTCAAGTTTGACTCCCAACTTCTTCTCCAGCATGAGCGTCACTGCACGGATACGCCACTTGATCTCCTTGACCGCAGCTTCAGCTTCTCCATTGGCCTTTGAATCGCCCACAGGTGACTCTTCCATGATGGATCGCACCACGCACCGGGCTTTTCTGGCTGCCACGGCTTTGAGAGCAACAAGCGATCTCTCTCCATCGCTTTTCAAAACGATCTGCTTGTACCCGAGCAACTCCAGGAATCGGGTCAGCACTTTCTGTCCAACTCCTTCCACTGCATTCTTCTTGTCCAGGGCTGTTGCAACCATCATCCCTGTCCTTCGATCTTGGGCCACCAAATGCGGCTTCGAACCTTCTTCCTCTCCAAGGTAGAAAAAGTCCATCACAATGGTGTCCACCAGATCCTCATCATGTGGAACTCGTCGATGTTGTTTTGCTGCCCCAGTTGCCTGTATGCATTCTTGGCACCAGCTCCTGTAGACAGCATGTCCAGACGCCTCATGTTCGCGGCGTTCTGCATCGGTTGGTGAAACTGGAGTCCAACCAGGGTTTGCTGCTCTGGCTTCAACGCCTTCGGCTATCACCAAAGCTGGCTCATCCCCCTGATCTCCTCTATCTCCCTCGTCCTCATCCACGGCGCAAACTGGTCGGTGGTGATGTCCTTCTCGTCCTGCTTCTGCTGGTCTCCGATGGTCTCGGTACCTCTTCCAAGGCGGTGGTGATGCCTTTGGTGTTTTCGGGCTCTCCTCACCCGGCTGCAACTCGTGCTCCTTGAGGTAGAAGTTGTAGACGCCGTTCTCCTCGTAGAGCGGGATGATCCCATTGTCTCCATACTGCTTGATCGCCTTGTCGTACGCTGCACCAAGAGCTTGGCAGACAGGATGGCTAAGTGGAATGATGTCTCCTCCACCAGGCCCCATCCACGTGCAGAAGCCTTTCTTGTGCATCCTGCTGGCGCTCACCAGGATCTTGTGCACGTCGCTGATCTTGCCGTTGACCTTCCGCACGATGCCATGTCTGTCCGTCCCCCTGATGCATCCATCTCCATAGGTTCCGATCACTTCTCCTGACGCTGTCTTCAGCTTGATGTCTTCAGGTTCTCCTTCTCCAAAGTACTCCTTCGGCAGGACCGTGATCGAAGCTCCCGAGTCCAAGTTGCACTTGATCCATCCGTCCTCCACAGAGTTAACTGAAGGACTTCTGCGATCTGCTCGGCTCCTCGATCTGTCCTCTGTCTCAACCTCGACCTCGACTTCCTCCATGTCGTCTCGGTATGTTGATGCTGGCTCACTCTTCACCCTTGAAGATCTTGTTCTCCTCGAAGGGCTCCTTGAGGAAGATTTGACCGAAATGGTGCAAAGGTCAAGTCCACCAGCTTCTGCAGGAGGTTCAGGTTCTGCTTGTTCCACTGAGGCTGCATTCCCCTTGCCTTTGTTCTGCGTATTGGGCTTTCCTCCTTTTCCTTTTCCATTGCTGGGGAGATTCCAGCACTCAGATTTGCGGTGTCCAACCTTCCCGCAGTGATGGCATTTTCCTTGAAACTTTGCATCCTTCTTCGGGCTGGCACTCCCAGAACTTGGTTGTCCTTTGCCTTTTCCTCCATCACCAGGCTTTTGCCAGCAATCACGTTGTTTGTGGCCAGGCTTGCCACAATTGTTGCAAGTGATCTTGTTCGACCCCTTAGTGTTCTTTCCTTTTCCAACTGCACCTGATCCCACAAGCGATGCGATGTTGCCCGACACGGTCTTGACCAACGCATCGATGTCCATAGGAGCTGCACCATTGTTCGAAGATCCAGCCGCTGGCTTGCTGAAGTTGGAGCTGATGTTCATCTTCGACCCCGTGCGAGCTTCCATGAACGTGACAATCTCACGCTCCATCTCATCGAAAGTCCTCAGCCTCGAGTAGTTGAGCATCAGGTGGGTCTCTAACTCCTTCGGCACCAGGCGTTCCAAGGCATTCATTGCAAGGCTATCTGGTAGTGCTTCTCGAACTCCAAGTTGGTCTTTCTTGCGGTCGTACCTCGATCTCAAGGCCTTCCAACGTTCAAGAGCTCCTTGAAGGTTCTCGTAGCTGCTCCTCTCAGGGTTGGTCAATGCCTGAAGCATCACACGCTTCCGGCTCCCCGTAGATGGGTCGTAGCGCTTGTGCAGCGCCCTCCAACCTTCAAGTCCACGACCAGAAGCCACGTTGTCGATGAGGTCGAACGGAATCCCCTCTGTCGTTGCTCGCAGCACCACATACAGTTGCTTGTCGAACTCCTCAATCTCTTCCCATTGGTCGGCGGCATCTGCAGTCATCCCAAATGCTGCATCAACCTCCAGCTCGGTCACCTCGGTCTCCATAGTTGCGGCCCATTCAAGAGCCTCCCGACTCTTGCCACCAAAGACTCCACTCACGTAGTCCTCCAACTTGATGGCCCAAAGTCTGAAGCGGGTGTCAGCGTCGTCACCCAACACCTGAGGTTTGCCAAGCCCCCTAGGATCTATCAATCCCTTTAGCTTTCCCATCTTCGCCAACGCATCTGGAAGTTGTTGAAGAGCTTGAAGCACCTCCTGCACAGGTAGAGCTCCTCCAGCTGTCGGCGACCCTCCAACCTGCTGCTGTGCCTCAAAGGTCGTCAGCCGATCCCTTAGCACCTGGTTCTCCTGCTGGGTCACCTGCACTTGCGTCTGGAGCTGCTGGATCGCAGCTGCAAGTTGAGCTATCTCTCCCTGCTGTGCCATCGTTGTCCTCAGAGACCAGGCCGATCAGGACGTATGGTAGTCCCCCTTGGCAACCTAGGATCACCGCAATGGCCACCAGGAGAAAGTTCCACCACCAGCGCGGCTTCGGGGCTCTCTCAGCCTCCCAAGCCCGGAGAGCCGCACAGCCCCGTGCCGCTGCGCCTCGACGCAGGCACGCTACCATGCAAAGGTGGGGTATGTCACCGAACCCCCATGACACCCTGCAGCACGATCAGCTGCACCTTTTGCCAGATGGCTGTCGGTATGACAACCTGGGTTAGATTTGCAATTAAATTATATATATATATAATTAAGTTTTATATGAAATTATATTGTATATATAATTATATTATATATATAATTATATTATATATATCATTATAATTATATATATAATTAAATTATATATATACAATTATATTGTATATAAAATTATATTATATATAATATATAATATATAATTATATCATATATATATATATAACTGTATTATATATAATTATATTATATATATTATATGTATTATATATATATTAAATTGAATATATTATATATATTATATTAAATATATTATATATATTATATTATATATATTATATATATTATATATATTCAATATATTATATATATTATATATATTAAATATATTATATATAGTATATATATTATATTATATATTTATTGTATATATTATATTATATATAGTATATATATTATATATATTATATATTATATATATTATATATATTATATATATTATATATATTATATATTAGATATATTATATATATTATATATATTATATATATTATATATATATTATATATATTGTATATACTATATATATTATATATATTATATATTCTATATATTGTATATACTATATATATTATATATTATATAAATATATCTTATATATAATATATAATATATATTTTATATGATATATTATATATTTTATATATTATATATATTATATATATTATATATATTATAAATATTATTTATATTATATATATTATAAATATTATTTATATTATATATATTATATTTATATTATATATATTATATATATTATATTATATATATTATATATATTATATATCTTATATATATTATATATATTATATATGTATATTGTATATATTATATATATTATATATATTATATATATTATATATATTATATATATATTATATATATTATATATATTGTATATATTATATATATTATATATATTATTTTTATTATATATATAATATTATATATATACAATGCCAATCAACCGACAAAATCAACCGCGCGTTGTTTTAAAAATCCGGTCGTGCTGACTGGAGCTTCGCAGTACTCCTTCTCTGTGGCCCTGTATACTCCATTCGCCTCCTGCAAGCAGCATGGTAAATGTCAAACGGGTGTGGGCACCAAGCTGCAGTCCCAAACTTGCACACTTGGGTGACAGTCCTCGCACCCGGCTCCAGACACTACCACAGCCTCCAATCAAAAGCAAAATAGGTAAGCGAAGCTTGTAATTATACCAACAACACTTGAAAGCTGTTGGTTCGAATAGCATCTTTTGGATCAGACAACGTGGGGGACCTGTGGCAAATCAGCAAAGACCATCGCGTTGGGAAGTGCAATATTGTTTGACAGTGTCTCGTAGTTTGTCCCATGTTTTTTTGCAAGATTTTGCGAAAAGCCTGAGTTCCATCTTTCAAGGTGGTTTACAATGACCATAGAATGGTCCAGCCGGATAAAGTTAGACTTGCAATTTCAGCGCATTTTGAATCTGAAAAGTTTAGTCACTCTGATTGAGCCAAGTTTGGTCAGCAAGATTCACCGTGAAACCACGCGCGTTGGATCAAGTGAAAAATGTACATGAAGATGATGGATAACCCGCTGTAATCCGCACAACACAGCAATGATGTGGTCTTTGAGCCGATAAGAATGCGGAAAGCAAAGTTTTTGCACTAAAAATACCTTTTGATTGCACTGGTTTCCTGTTTCAACTTCCATGACTGCAGCAAACCCTCAACTTGGACCACAAACGACGGTGTCATGTTCTACCGGAGAACATCCGTACAAATCAACAGTTCGGCAGCTCAGCATTTTGTGTGAATCGATGTGCGGTCGTTCGAATCATACAATGCAGACCTTTGCTTGCAAGCATGGATGTACGTACATTCATGCTTGCAAGCAAAGGTCTGCGTTGTACTAGTGTAGTAATGCTGCATCCTGATTAGTATAATGTATTTAAGCACTTTGACTGGCGGAAAACGATGGCATCTTGCCTTGGGATTCTCCCAAAATGTTCCGAAACTCACCATCAGATACCTAACCAGAACCAGCTACTCAGTGTGGTAACATACTTCCTGAGCACCAAACTGGTTCGCGAATGGATGTTCATCCCTCCAAAAATCGACCCATCCGCATGTTCCATATTACAACAAATAAAGGTATAACTTAAATCTACACCGATGAAAACAACTTCAAACAAATTACCAGTTCAGAGGAAAAATATACAATGTAATAATCCGCCAACCCCGGCCGACGCAAGGGGGAGCGCGTAAGGGAAGAAGAGGTACTGCACTGCTGCTACTACTACTACTACTACTCCTCCTCCTCCTACTCCTACTCCTACTCCTACTACCAGCAGCAGGAGAAAAAAGTAGCTCAAATCATGATTTTCTATGGGTTTCAGAAGTTACGTTAGGCACTTTTGAGGTGCAATTTCGGAGCTTTTCCGTCCTTCACTGCCATGGGGATTTGCTGCTGGGAGTGGTTCCATTTTAGGCGTCGCAGCTAGCCATCAGCAGCAGCCGCAGCCGCAGCAGAAGGAGCCTCGTCAGCAGCAGCAGCTGCAGCCGCAGCAGAAGGAGCCTCGTCAGCAGCACGAGAAAAAAGGAACTAAAATCATGAATGAATTTTCTATGGGGTTCAGAAGTTACGTTAGGCACTTTTCAAGTGCAATTTCGGAGCTTTTCTGTCCTTCACTGCCATGGGGATTTGCTGCTGGGAGTGGTTCCATTTTAGGCGTCACAGCCAGCCACCAGCAGCAGCAGCCGCAGTAGGAGCCTCTGCAGCAGCAGGAGAAAAAAGTAGCTAAAATCAATCAAAGTATGAATCAAAGTATCAAAGTAGCTGTAGCTTGAATCGGCATAAAATTGAATCATCATCTCCTATGGCTTTCAGAAGTTACGTTAGGCACTTTCGAGGTGCAATTTCGGAGCTTTTCCGTCCTTCCCTGCCATGGGGATTTGCTGCCGGGAGTGGTTCCATGTTAGGCGTCGCAGCTAGCCACCAGCAGCAGCAGCAGCCGCAGCAGTAGGTGCCTCGTCAGCAGCAGGAGAAAAAAGAGAAAGTGCCTTGAGTCATTTACAATCACAGATTAATTCCACCACAGTATCCACATTGATAACTGCCAATAAAGTACTCCATAATGCCAAGAAACACAGTGACGTGCACATCAAAATTCAACCCATTAAGACCGAGGACCTCAGATTCATTGCCTTTTCCGATGCATCATTCGCATCCAAAAGCAAACCAGAGTCACACGCAGGCATGATCATCCTTGCAACACACCGTGGGATTTCCCAGAATCAGTCTTGTCCCATAAGCCGAATTTCCTGGGGGACCAAAAAGATTCAGAGGATTGCAACAAGTACCCTCTCAGTGGAAACATCAGCGTTGTCAACAACTCTTGATCAATTAACGTGGTTAAGACTCTACTGGGCATGGATCTTAGACCCAAAAACAGAATGGCAAAAGCCAGAGAAAACAAAGTTACCACCAGCCCTTTCCATTCCAACATACAAAGCAACCGAAAGCGACTTTGCCATCACAGATTGCAAAAGCCTGCGCGATTTAACTACCAGAATTGCCATTCCAAACTGTCAAGAATTTCGAACACAACTCCTAGCAAGATCCATAAAAGATATTCTCGCAGAAGGAATAAGATTACACTCACTGGGAACACCCAGGTGCACAGCTAGCAGATTCCTTAACGAAAGTAATGGAAGCAACGTTTTTACGAGAAACTCTCCGTAAGGGACGGTATTGCCTCCATGACTCTGAAGAAGTGTTGAAAAACCGTGCATCGGCACGCAATCGACTGAAATGGCTCAGATCGAGCACTGGCACAGATCAAATGTCTACAAAGTCAAAAAACTTTTGAAGTTTTGGGAATGTGAAACGTAGACATTTGATCAGACTTGAAGTAGCCTGCCATAGAGGTGCGATTGAGAAAGCTATATCGCATGTCACAGCGCATCTGTACATACATCTAAAATCTGTAAACTAAAACCATTATATAAACCGTTTATATCCTTTTTTAGTGTGACGCCAGGCCCCGAAAAACACCAAAAGTCCTTCAGGAGGGTGGGGGAAAGCTTTTTGGCCGGAATCCGGGTCGCTCATAAGCGTCTCCAAGAGCATAATCCCGCCCCCGCCCCCAATTTTGAGGGTACCTAAAATCGGAAAAAGCGACGTTTTGACACATTTTTCGGACGATTTTTCGCTTTTCGAGTTGGCGGGAGCCATGCAAAAATGCAGAAAATGCTGTAAATACCAATACTTTTTGGACCCGAGATGCACAAAACACTGCAAATACCAGAGTTTTTTGAAAGCAAAGCAAAAAAACATTGTAAATTACAGCTTTGTTGGCGGGTTGATCGCAAAAAATGCTGGTATTTACAATATTTTTGCAATTTCAAGAAAACGTGGAAGGCACGAAACACTGTAAATAGCGGTGTTTTGGCCACTTTTGGGCGCAAAAACGCTTGTATTTACGCAGTTTTTTTGCCCGTGGCGGCGCCAAACCTTTGTAAATTACAGCATTTTCTTCCCTTTTTGAACCGATTTTTTGCGTTGAATTTACGCGTTTTTCAAAAAATCGAAGATCGCGACGTGAACGAAACCCTGTAAATAACAGTGTTTTAGCCACTTTCGGGGACTAAAACTGTGGTATTTACGCGGGTTCTTGCCATCTGACAGCGCAAAATGCTGTAAATTGCAGCACTTTGTGCGCTGTTTATGTTCAATTTTTTAACCTGCGATGCTTTCACCTGTTCTTTGCATTCTTCCACAAGAAACAATGTTGCAGATTGAAACTGGACGTCAGCGTGACCCGAAAGAAAGCTGGATGGAGGAGTCGCACAGAAGCTTTTACACATACAGGGGCTTTTACACAGAGAAGTCTCTACACAAAGGAGCTTTTTACACAAAGAAGGTTTTACACAGAGAAGTCTTTACTCTAAGGAGCTTCTGCACACAAACGTCTAGGAGCCTTTACACACAGAAGCTGTTACACAAAGAAGTCTTTACACAGAGGGCTTTTTTACACACAGACGCGTTTGCACACAGAAGCTTTTACATAGAGAAGCCTTCACACAGAGGAGCTTTCACACACAAAAGCATTTACACACAGCAAGCTTTTACACACACAGGGGCTTTTACACAGAGAAGTCCTTACACAAAGGAGCTTTTTACACACAGAAGGTTCTACACAGAGAAGTCTTTACTCTAAGGAGCTTCTGCACACAAACGTCTAGGAGCTTTTTCACACAGAACTTTTTACACGAAGAAGGCCTGACAGAGAGAGTTTTTACACACAGGCGCGTTTGCACATAGAAGCTTTTACACAGAGAAGCCTTTACACAGAGGAGCTTTTACACACAAAAGCATTTGCACACACAGGGGCTTTTACACAGAGAAGTCTTTACACAAAGGAGCTTTTTACACACAGAAGGTTTTACACAGAGAAGTCTTTACTCTAAGGAGCTTTTGCACACAAACGTCTAGGAGCCTTTACACACAGAAGCTGTTACACAAAGAAGTCTTTACACAGATATATAGCTTTCACACACAGACGCGTTTAGCTTTTACACAGAGAAGCCTTTACACTTTACACAGAGAGTTTTTACACACGGAAGCTTTTACACACAGTGAAATCTTTACACAGACGTTTCACACAGAGAAGCTTTCACACACAGAAGCTTTTACACAAAGAAGTCTTTACACAAAGTGGTTTTTACACACGGAAACTTTTACACACAAAAGCTTTTACACAGAGAAGTCTTTGCACAGAGGCGCCTTTACACGAAGCATCAAGTTGAAATTGGCAGCAGTTCTTCGGGAAAAACCCTTGGCAGGAGCTTTCGGGAACTCACTTGCTCCCCAAAAAAGCCGTCTATTTCCAACAAAGTTCCTATTCCATGAACTTTTTTCAAAAAACATAAAGAATATATTTCTGAAGCAGGTCCCCATCCAAAAGCTTTCAAGCCCACACTAGCCCCGAGATGGCCCAACTTAGCTCCAAATCGATGCAAAAGACACAACATCAACCACATCGACAACATCAACGACATCAACAACATCAACAACAACATCACCAACAACATCATGATCGACAACAACAACAACAACAAGAAGAAGAAGAAGAAGAACAAGAACAAGCACAACAACAACAACAACAACAACAACCACCACGACGACGGCGACGACGACGACGACGACAACAACAACAACATCGACAACAACAACAACAAAAACAACCACCACAACAACAACAACCACCACCACAACAACAACAACAGCAGTCGTAGTACTAGTAGTACTCGTGATGATGGTTGTGATGATGGTGATGATGAGGATGATGATGATGATGATGCTGATGATGATGATGATGAAGATGGTTGTGATGATGATGATGATGATGATGATGACGATGATGATGATGCTGATGGTGATGCTGATGATGATGATTCTAATGATGATGATGATGATGATGATGATGATGATGATGATGCTGCTGATGATGATGATGATAATGATGATGATGATGATGATGATGATGATGATGATGTTCATGCTGATGATGATGATGATGATGATGATCATGATGATGATGATGATGATGATGGTTATGATGATGATGATGATGATGATGATGATGATGATGCTGATGCTGATGGTTGTGATGATGCTGGTGGTGATGATGATGATGATGCTGCTGATGATGATGATGATGATGTTGCTGATGATGCTGCTCCCAGTTGGGCCTGCTGGCCCGCTGTTGGGCGTCAGCCCCGTAGGCGTTTCTCTCCTCTCCGTAGGAGAGAGGGGCCGCCGCCCCAGCCGCTGACCCACCGCGTACCGCCAAAAAGTCCCGCGTTTTACGGTGTTTTGTGCTCTTCCTATTTTTTCCATTTTTCGGAGCTTGTGGCTCCGGCCAACATAGGCCTCAAGATGAACCAACATAGCCTCAGCATGGGGCAACATAGCAGGCCAAGATAGCCCCAAGATGGGCCAACATAGCCCCAAGATGGGCCAACATAGCCCCAAGATGGGCCCACATTGCCCTCAAGATAGGCCAACATAGCCCCAACATAGCCCCAAGATAGGCCGCCGACCATCAAAATATCCTGCGTTTTACAGTGTTTTTTTTGCTGTTCCCATTTTTCTGATTTTCTGATCTTTTGGCTCAACATGGGTCAACATGAGGCCAACATAGGCCAACATAGCCACAAGATGGGCCCACATTGCCCGCAAGATAGGCCAACATACGCCAACATAGGCCAACATAGCCACAAAATGGGGCAACATAGTTGGGCCCCTGGCCGGCTGTCGCGCGTAAGCGCTTAAATAAAACCCGTGATTGTGCACAAACACCTGAAACCATTCAAACGCAAGAAAGCCACTGCAGACTTTTCACCAGAGCTCCTGCTGGGAAAACCCCCTCTCTGTACCAAATGGTGAGACAAGAAGTGTTCCTCTCGGCAGAGTCACACCACCCGTGGAGGTGACTCAGTTCACAGCTGACAACTTAGTCTCGCTTCCAAAATTCGGCACAGTGCACGCTTGCATCTGCGCAAAAGGAATTGGAAAACACAAAATTCACATGCAACCGTCAATGCAACATGGAACCGGACCACTGCCTTTTTCGCAGCAGGCAAGCCCCCAAGCCATTAGGAATTGAGGTTGCGGTTGGAGCCACGTCACTGCGACGGCCAAAGAAAGCAATCGATAACACCCACACCATGCCAGCAAACACCAGATGGTCTATGTTATTGTACGGTCTAGAATAAATATCAATATCTATACAGCAATGACCAGACGCAGCAACACGCTCTAACAGGCTCTTCCTTGGGTGTTTTCCAAGGCAAATTTACATGCAAATTCTTTTGTCAATGGCAATTTCAGGATCCTAAAATGGAGGTACCTACCATATATAAGGCCTATGTAAGGCCTATGTAAGGCCTATGTAAGGGGATATATCCCCAAAATATGGCCTTATATGCTACAGTACCTCCATTTTAGGATCCTGAAATTCCCATTGATTTTGACGTCCAAGATTCCGGAGTCAATTAATCTAGCTCCGCTTGGAACAACCATTTTGCCTAGAAGTTGCTTCATTAATAGGTAGCAAGACGTTGGTTTTTTCATTCACTGTGTACTCACAGCTTGTCGCCTATTGACATTTCCATGACAAATGAAGTCACCAGAAAATGTTGATTGTTTTCGAGAACGTTGTCTTGGCATATCACTTAGAGCCAATTTTCTGAAACCGTCCAGTCTGAAGCATATGTGTTTCACAAGTCCAGGTTTCATGCACCTGCTCCAAAGTACCTTCTGTTCCAAAAAAAATGTGGCAATTGGGATTTCGCGCAACCATTGCTCTTGGACTTCTGCT